AGAAAACATTTCTTACAGTGTTCAAAGTTGGTTAAAACATAAAAAGGGCCTACCAAGGCATCTTGGGAATTCCCTCGGTGCCTTACAAACCAAACGTGCAGAATATGCCCCTCCCGGGATGCACTCATCCATCATTGGCCATGATGCATCCACTGTTACATGAAGGCGCTGCCATCTATCACGATCCTGCTGATTTCATCGCTCCATCTCCTTTGGCCGGTGTTAGTCGTCCTCCCTACCCCCGTGCCAACCGACTAGCACGGTTGGCTACGTACGGTGCGAAATAAGTTCGACATGCGTACATACGTGGTGTGGGGGGGAGGAGGAGGAGGAGGAAATGGCGTGACATGATCACTCCAGAGCAGGTTATATGTTTGCTTGAGTAGGAAGCAGGTAGATAGCCTCGGTGTGCTTTAAAACTTGACAGGTGATTGCTGGTTTGCGCTGAAGGCTGTGCTGGCTGGCACGGGTAACATCGGGGCATTGACCTTCCTGCTCCGGGGGTAACATAAGGACATCGACCTTTCCACTCGATGTTAGACGTCGTACGATCGTGGAGAAAGATCTGCTGCGCCGAGGACTGGTTCCAGATATCACTCGCTGCTACTATTATTCATAATAGAGGTGTTTTGGGTTAGATCGCGTAAATATTTGTGTCGTTAAAACCCGCCACCACCCGACACAGCCAACTAGTAAGGGTTGTCACGTGCACAGAACATGGTTATTAGCGAAGAGCGCCTGTGAAGGCCAGCATGGCACACGAAGGGGGTTGCCAGCACCACGCCTGGCCACTTTCGTCTCCCCAGTGGTGATCTTTACACACCGCACCAGGCACTGTACTAATTTAAATCCGGGTCGAGTCGGTTTGGATATTGGTCGTGAGCAGGAATCGAACTCAGGGTCGCCGAGTTCGTTGTGCAGTGAGCTTACCACTAAGCTCACACTCATGCACAAAATGCTTGCAACACAAATGAACCACAGTGCCTCGCTGATCTCAAGGAACATAAGCCATCGGGCAAACTCCGGTCGTCCTCACAGCAGCGAATTTTGGCAAACCCTCGAACAAAGTCTGTGGTCACCTCATCGCACGCTTTCAGATGCTCTTATGCGACCGTCTGGAATGCTCTTCCGATATTCAGAAGCCACTGGAGCTATGCACTTTTACATCTAGACTGAAAACTAATTTCTTCAGAACTTATTTTTGTGTTCAGTTTGTTGTCCTTCCCCCGCACCTCCGATTCGCGCGGTTGACTACGTATGGTGCGAAAGAAGTTCAACATACACCTCATACGTATCAGTCGCGAGAGCTGATTAACCATACTTCACCATGGTGGTCAGTGCAGGTTCGCTGATGGGATGCCCAGCACTGGTTCAGATATAACTTGCCACCGAATGATAGTAACAATAGAACAATAAGTTACATCCACGAATCAATCCAGTTCTAAACGAAGACCTCCCCCCCGCGTTCAGATATCACTTTTTTTTGCTGACTTTAGCCATGGTCGGGTATAGAACTCGGGTGCCACCGGTTTCCTTGGCACGGTGGGACGGAGCACTGGGCCTCCCACCGCCTCCACCCATTCATGTTGAATAAGTGATTTTAATTTTAGCGAGATCTGGTTTAGAGAGCCACTTGCAAAAACAAACGCCTGTTGCTCTCCCGTGTTTCATTACAATGGGATATTGAATTTTGCCGACGTTTGTGTTGTTTCGGTCGCCTAACCAGAACTTCGCAATTTCCCTCGTCGGCAAAATGTTGGCCTTCGCGAGGCTAAGTACACTCACGCCGTTTGGAGGGAGGCGGCGTGCGTTACATCCGCTTCCAGAATTTTCCCGCTCGCACACACCGCTGTGGAGATGCCATTAAGCTTGCCTGCATCGTGTGGTGGAGGGCCTCCCTACGCAGATCTGGCCCGACGCGTAGGCTGGCTCGCACCGGCGATGCCGCGTTCGGTGAGATCCGGCCCGAGCCTCGCAAGCTTGGCGCTGTTCACCGTCGGTTGGCAGCGGTCGCCAGCCAGATGCTGCCCCCCCCCAGCCCCCCCCCCCCCATCCCCACCCCACCAGGGGGTTCCCTTTCACCCTTCCAGGCTGGCTGGGCTGGTGGGAAATTCTGCCGATGCGGCGTTTGCCGAGCGCGATGATTTCTTCTCCTACCGCTCTGTTCGCCGTCGGGGCCGCAGCCTTGCGCAGCGCGGTACAAATATGGGGGCTGGTGTTTATGCTGACGGGTCGTCTCTGCGGGAGGGGGGGGGGGGGCGGCGGTGGGGAGCAGGGGGGATCATGGATGCATCGTGGCTTTACCCAATTCGGTAATTTGCTAATACTTTTTAACTTGGCGCATCTGCACCGTGACGACGGAGCACGAAGCACGCCGCAACCATCTCCCCCACCACCACCACCGACACCTTCATGCACAGTGCACCGATGCAGCTAACGGCGGTGCGTGTGTACGCGCACGGACTGGTGCGGCGCGCTGCGCCCTGGCCCCGTCGGCCCGAGCTCGACTCCCGCTAAGCGCACCCACGAACCGCGGCGAATGCCCCAAAGCGCTCCTGGACCTCCCCGAGGTCAACTCGGCCTCAACTCGGTACCTTTTTCCGGTTTAAACATTAGCGCTGGGGAGACAGAGGCGGCTGGGCGTGGCGTTGGCCGTGCGGATAATTTGAGTTTCATTGGCCTGCGAGGTCGACCGGACATTGCGGGTGCACCCAGTGGGTTCGTGAACCCATCTGCGTGGAAATTTGTCGTCCACCTGCATTCGAGAGGGTTCCCTTCGGAAATGTCAACAACAACAACAACAAAAAACATCCCAAAGCAGGGTCCCCCTTGCAAATTAAGTCTCGGCACCCGTCCAATGCTTCGCCGGATAAATAAAGACCCTTTTTTTTTACTGATATCCTCCTGCAAATGTAAACTTCCTCTCCCCTCGCTCCTCTCCCATCTCTCTCCTCGTCTCGTTTAAAAATCATGGGTGGGGGGGGGGGGGCGCATCTGCGACGGGCTAAAATGATCACGGCCGATGATCTTGCTGCCGAAGGTGCTGAATCGTGGAAGTTTATTTAAAGCGGGAAGCGTTTGCTGCGTCTAATCGTGCCGGTGTTCTTCCGTCTGTGGCCGCGGACGAGGCCACGCATTGCCAAAGCGAACGAGATTCACCGCGATGCACGTCGCCGCCGCCTGCATTGCGTTGACGCCGTGTTTGCGATGCATGCGAAAGCAACGCGATGCTTTTAACTGACGCGCGCGTTCGGATGCGCTTCTGCGGCCGTCTGGAACGCGCTCTTCCCTGCGATTAATAGGAAGCCGCTGGAGCCGTGCACTTTTAAATCATATAAATTGGGAACCCATTTCTTCAGAACTGCTTTTGTTGTGTTTAGTTTTGTTGTCCTTTGTTCCGCACCTCCGATTAGTGCGGTTGGCTACGTACGGGTGCGAAAGAAATTCGGCACACACGCCCACGTTAACATTTCAGTCACGGAGCAAACTTTGCAAATGCCCCGTGAAAATGCGCTCTAAAAATAAACGGTGTAAAGCCAAAACGTCCTGACACCACCTTGCAGAGCCAAGTTTTAGGTCCACGATATAAATTTCTATCTTTTTTTTTGCTCGTCGATCGCCGCACGCGCGCCTTGGAGCCGGGACGAGTCCACGCCGCCCAGAACGATGGCCTGGCACACGACCGAGGAGATTATTTCTGGTCCGGTAAAATATCTGATGACGATGATCCTGGCGTGGCAATTTCCACCACGCCTCCTTGTAAAGCTCTTTGCTGGGACACAGTGGCCGCCCCGTTTGCACGCGAGACGAGGCATCTCGCGCTCGATCAGAGTGCGATATATTTAAAGTTGCCCATTTCAGATTGGACGGATGTCTCGGCGGGGTCGGAGATGCTGAACCGGCACTGCAGAGATGCCGAGTTAGAATCCAGCGTTGCAGTCTTGGTCACCGATGGCTGCGCTAAAAAACGGCCAGCGCAATAACTGTTGGGTTTCTTGCTTCCCACGTCGCGGTTACGAGCACCGAGTCTTAGAAGAATGTGTTTTATTGCTATGCAACGGACATTATTTGCAGGAAGTGGCCCGACTGTAGGTAAAGTAACTTCACTCATACTTTTGTGAGCTCATCTTCTGGGGCCAATCGGAGCATCCGTTTTCGTGGTTATTGGTCTCTCGCTACGAGCGCTTACACGCGGCGCACTTGCACACAGCACACTCGCACATAGCGCACTGCACACTCGCACACAGCACACTGCACACTCGCACACAGCGCACACTACGCACTCGTCCACACTCGCACACAGCACACTCGCACACAGCACACTCGTCCACACTCACACACAGCACACTCGCACACTCGCACACAGCACACTCGTCCACACTCACACACAGCGCACTCGCACACTGCGCCCGTCTCCGCGAGCTGAGCCGTGGATTTAGGAGTTCAGCAGTGGGCCTGCGATGGAGCCTCGTGGCTCGAGGTCACTCCTTCCTTGCTGCTGCCCCCCTTGGCTTCAAACTCCCTCCCCCCAGCGGTCCGTGCTGCTGGTTCCCTGCCCTCTGTTGAAGCCCAGGCTCAAGGTCTTTGTCTCCTCCTCCGCCTATAAGCTGACTGTGCAATGTCTCATGTCATTGATGGCGGCTCTCACCTGACAATAAACGCTCCTGAGGACTGCATTGGAAAGCCACTTTGACCGCCCTTCTCGGTCGTCGTTTTCAGCACCACGTGGTGTACAGAGTCGCATGGGATCATGGGGTGGAGATTTCACGGTGCTAGCGGTACTTTGAGCCCCTCGCGGACCTCCGGCCCTTGGTGGAGAGCTTAAGGAGATGGCGCGTGCGTCTCCCCCAGCACTACGGCGTTTTCCCCATGATGCATGCGTGCCCCCCCCCCCCCCCCACGCCCCCCCCCACTCGCTTTCCCTCCCACGTCTTGAGACGCGGTTGCTTTGGGACGCCACGCTGAGTGTCGGCACCCCGCCCCGCTCTGTCGCTGCGCAGGATCGCGGTGTCGACACCGCTGGGGGTGATCACCTACTTCCTGCTGTGGGTGGTGCCGCCCGGTGACATACAGATGGAGCTGAAGGTCCTGTGGTACCTGCTGTGGTACTGCCTCTTCCAGACGCTGCTCACGGTGCGATGGGCATGCTCGCCCACTGGCTCACTCACTCGTTCACTCACTGGCTCACTCACTCGTTCACTCACTGGCTCACTCACTCGTTCACTCACTGGCTCACTCACTCGTTCACTCACTGGCTCACTCACTCGTTCACTCACTGGCTCACTCACTTGTTCACTCGCAAGCTCACTGGCTCACTCGCAAGCTCACTCACTTATTCACTCACTGGCTCACTCATTCATTCATTGGCTCACTGGCTCACGCACGTCTCCAATACCCACGAAGGCACGCACTGGCTCACCCACTCACCGGCTCCACTCCTTCACTTCAATCACGCTCTCTCATGCAGGAACCCTCCTTGCCGGTTACACACGTTCATTCACTCACTTACCTACTCATGCACCCAACCACACCACACCCACTAACGGCCCTACCCATTCATTCACCCACTCGCACACCCACTTGTTTACTCACTCGCTCACTTACCCGCCCATCCACTCTATTACTCACCTACCCACACATCCTCACTTACCATTCAGAGACCCACTCACTCACCTACCCACCCACTCCTCACTCACTCACCATTCACCGACCCATTCACTCACTCACACCCACACCATCCACCCATTGACCCACTCACTCATTCATTCACTTTATGGAGACTTTCTCTCTCTCTCGCCAAACAACCCACTCACTCTCTCTCTCTCTGTCCTCCCATTTTCACATCTCGTCCACAGTGCTTTCACGTGCCATACTCGGCGCTCACAATGTTCCTGAGCGACAGCCAGAAGGAGAGGGACTCTGTGACCGGCTACCGTGAGTTCACCCCGACAGCTGCACGAGGACACAGATTAAGCGCTCGCCACAAATGAGCAATCGCAACGATACCTCGCAGATGATCTGGTCAAGGAGCAAAAAATAAAAACATCAACGCGCTAACGCCTGTCATCTTCGCAGCAGCAGCAGCAGCAGCTTTTTGCTCGGCCCTCGAATAAAGACGGTCGGCACGTCGCGCCCTTTCAGATGCGCGTCTGCGGCCGTCTGGAACGCGTCTGTCCTGCCTTACGATATTTTCGAAGCCACTATAGCTATGCACTTTCAACACTCGTTTGAAACCTCAATTTTTATGGAATTATTTTTGTGGTCAGTTTGTTGTCCTTCCCCCGCACCTCCGATTAGCACGGTTGGCTACGTACGGTGCAAAAGAAGTTTCAACATGGACACATGCACGAACGCTGGATGACCTGGAGGGATCGTCAAAAGAGACTTTCAGATTCAGGATATTTATTTACACTGGAGGAATCTGATGACCTACAAAGCTCCTTTTCACAGATGTCCAGTCGTCCCATTGACTCACCTGCCCACAGCATGCACTTCTGCCTCTGTTAAACACGTGGACCCACACGTGTACATAAACTATAACTGTGTACGCTTTAAAAGGGTAATCGTTTTTCACTTTGAGTGTGCATGTACCCAAATGTGTACGTGTACTAGGAGCGGTGGTGTAGCGGGTAGCGCTATGCTGCGCTACGAATCCGGCGACCCGAGTTGAATTCCCGCTCACGGCCAACACCGGTGACGATCATCTGAACCGGTACTGGGCCTCCCCTAGGTCTACTCAGCCTCAAATCAGTACCTGGTGCGGTGTGTTTACGTCGCCACTGGGGAGACAAAGGCAGTCGGTCGTGGTGCTGGCCACCCACCCCCTCGTGTGCTGTGCCGGCCTTCATAGGTGCTCGCAAACAGCACTTTGTCCAACAGTCTGTTAAGGCAATACAGGGGATATTTGTATGTTCCATGTGCGGAGAGCAGTAATGTAGCGGTTAGCTGGTGCATTTCAGTCGGTCAACCCATGGCACCTGGGTCTATTGCGTGACCTCCTATCAGCGAGCCTTCAGCACTTTACGTGGCCTCAGAGCGTACCTGGCCCGGCACAGGCGCCGCGGTGACGTCACCACCACTTAGTGGCGAACGGCGGCCGTTGTTGTTGTTGTTGTTTGTTGTTGTCATCTGTCGGCGGACGGCAGGCATGACGGTGGAGGTGCTGGGCACGGTGATGGGCGCCGCCATCCAGGGGCAGATCTCGCAGGCCTTCGCGAGCGGCAAGAGTCGCGTCAAGTGCGAGGGCCTCGCCAACTCGTCGTCCCTCTACTCCCCCAACGCCACGAGCGCCCCCAACGCCACCGACCTGTGGGTCACCCCCGGGGTCGCGGCCAGCTCCGACGACGAGCACCTCGAGATGCTGGTAAATTCTCGAGCCTGGTTGGCGTCGTTGCGTTGCGGAGGGCGCGGGGGTGAGGGGCTTGGTGGGGGGAGGCAGGGGGGGGGTGGTGGTAGGAGGGACGGGGGGAGTTGTTTATATAAATATATATTTTTTACATTTTGTTACTCAGCTGCCTACGGCAATATCCCATGGTAATTGCTGTCATTTTCTGCATTGTCATTTTTCTGGTCCGGATCCAAAGGTCCATTATGTTCAATTATGAGTGTTATTAGCCGGTTACTGAATCACTGATGATTGGGTGTGTTACCTAGGCAATGTACTAAAACTAAACACTTTTATTTTATTTTACCAAGTAAAGTCCCACTGAGCTTTATAGGAGCGACCTGGCCACAATTGGTAGCTAAACGAAGTGGCTTATCGTCACGTGGAAATGTACAGCAGCCAATCTCGTTCAAATCTGAATCCGAGGAGGGAAGGGTCAGTGCACTGGTCTTGCAATCCAGAGGTCGACAGTTTGATTACATCTCCTGGCGCGGCAAGTCGGAACAACTGCGCAGGAATCGTATATCACTCGTTGCTGACGTTAGGTCACTGGGTTCGTAGCGCGTTGCGCTAACCGCTGCACCTCCGCTCCGCTCACACTCTTGACACTGAATCGCGCGATTTTTTTAATTGACAGTCGTTTCAAGATGAGCATTTCGTCAATTGGCGTGATTGAATCTGTGGCGAAAAAGTTCGCCAGATATTCGGCGATCTGCCGAAACTGGATTGTTCATGTTGACGCTGAGGGTTTCGCCTGCAATGATTTTGAACCGTCTCCTTGGCTCCGTTAAAAAAAATCAACTTTCTTCTTTGGTTCTTTCGGTAAAGTCACGTAGAATGAGAATAAAATAATAAATTGATAAAATAAAATAACACAATAATATTCTCATGACGTTTCGGCCACAACACAAGTGGCCTTCATCAGGTGAAGGGACGAGACTGTCTGGAGGACAGCGCTGTTCTCCAGACAGTCTGTCACGAAAGCTTTAAATCGAAATTTAAAATCAACTTTGTCACCGCCAGTCTGCGGTGACGTCATTTTCTCGCGTCGAACGCAGAAACGTTGCTCATGATCTCCGGTTTGTCCGTTGGCATACAAATCGATCTCGTCTTCTCTCCTATCTGATTATTGGAAACTTTTTTTGTTATCAGAATCAGAAACTCTTATTTAGATGGGGGAAATCCGATAAGCTATGAAGCTCTTTTTTTCACAGTGTCCGCTATAGGTAAGGTTTTTGGCCCCTCAGTTTACAAGTAGCGCAATCAAGCACACACTAAAACAAAACCAAGAGCTAACAATAATATTTACACATTCCCAGATAAAGCCGTTTGGTATCCACGATATCGATTTCGACTCCATTCGTCCGTCCCCCCACCAGGGCCCCTTTGAACGCTCGTCAGGGTCAAAGTGTCACGGCAACGCGCCTCTTATAGGAAGGGGGCCTTGGGTGTGGGTTTACAGGAAAGGCGGTCGCGTGGAAAGCTGTAAGCATGCGGTGTTTAACGAACGGACGAGCAAAAAAAAATAATCAACGTACTCGCCAATGACACTACGGCCCTGAAAAAAAATGACGGGTGAAGTTTCGGCCAATCGTGCTTCTTCACAGGTTCCCTGCGCTATTAAGAAGGGCCAGTGTTATCGGACGAATGTGTAGAGTTTTTGTTTGTTGTTAATTGTGATTGTGCGCCGCTGCCAACGCAGCACCACCACCGCCGAGTAATCTGTTAAATATTTCAGCGCGCACATTCAGTCGTTGCCACCATCAACGACGCTTAACCGTTTGGAAGTTTAATTCGGTTGGATGGCTCCGTGGCAGAGCGAGCGGTACGCAAGTCGTTATTCTCGTGAGTTCAAATCCTGGTTGGGATGGGAGTGGGGTGGGGGGGGGGTTGACTCAGCCCATCATCCCTTTGGGGTCGATAAAATCAGCACCACTTCGTGGCGAAGCCGACAGCGTTTTTCCTATAGTTAGTCTCGCTCTTCACCCCCTGTAATGTAATAGAAATGTGTAATTTTCACCGCTGGGGCCGGAGATGGCTTTGACTTGTTGGGCTTTCACTCGCGGTTACTTTATAGGGCGCTCATGGCGCCTTTCATCTGCCCCGTTATAAAAGACAATCATTATCTACGTTTGTTAATTTTAACATCGCCCGTAAACATTTTTGGGGCAAAAGTTATAAACCTCTTCTGGGGTACCGTCCGAGCTGAAGCCTCACAGGCAGCCGTGGGCCCCCCTAAAGATTCAAATCACAAATTGCTATAGTACAGCTGTAAAACTTTTCAGACAATAATAGAGAAACTTTTGCGATTGGTCATTGTTTTGTTTTTTTGCCATAGGCCGGTTCACGCGAGTGCGCGCCGCACGATCTTGACCCCAAGCATTTCAAAGAATAAATAACGATCCTGGATATTTTCGGCCCGTCACGTGTTAAACCGAACAACAACAACGACGACGACGTTTCGCGAAAGTCGCGCCGTGACGTTATCAATCCAAGTTCACCCCACGTGCTAGAAGCAGAGACGCAACGATGCAACCATTATGGGATTCCACATCCCACTCCTTCGCTGAGCAAGTCCGCGTCGGCAATGCCGAGGGCCTAGGTTCGAACCTCCGTTAAGATTCCCAATCTGGGAGGTGATCGGGTGGCTCATTTCGGAGCGCTGGGCCAGCGATACCGAGACCCTCGGGTTCGAACGCAGGATGTCAGCGTTACCTCTGTCTCACGGGAAAGACTCAACCCTAACCCTTCTAAAGTAATGAGGGATTTCACACGCTGGATGAGGGCCGTCAGTGCAGACACGTGTCGCCCGGCGTTCCCGACATCCCATCCTTTTCCGTGTTCCTTCGTCAGAATTGGAATTATTTCCTTGGTGTGGGTGAATGCTAAGAGCTGTGACGCTGTCTGCCACGGACGTCAGTTTCGTTTATACCGTTGACTCTTCTCCCCCTTTTCCATTGGAGTGCTACAGGGTATGTTGCGTGCGTGTATAAGTTAAAAAAAAAGTTAATATTTTTTATTTTATGAAACACGCTCGTGTTTGAGCATTCTGGTCTCAGCTAGCGTGGCCGGACGAGCCGGGTCCATGGTTCAAGGGAGAATGTGTTGTCGTCTAAGGAATTTGAGGGCAGAGGCTGGGTTCGGGTGGGTGTGGATAGGGTGGAGACCAGGGGAAGACAGACAGAGAGAGAGAGCGAATCGAGTCAAGCATAGGCCACCACCTCCCCCACCCCGCCCTCCTCCTCGTCACAAAACAAAAAAAAAGGTTGTGCTAGGTGAATGACCGACATCCTGGAAAAATACTGGCCGAAATAGACAGCTTTAATTATTCACAGCCGTCACCAGCGGCGTGTGTAATCACTCGCTCTGCGTCACGTGTTGTTGCAGGCGTGCACGTGGCCCGTATCAGAACCGGAATCCCTCCCTCCCTATAGCCCTAAGCTTCAAATCAAGACGGAAGCTTTAAGTTGATGTGTGCGCAGTGTGGGGAGCGGTAGCGCAGTGGCTATTTGCATTGGACTGCGAAACTCAACCTTCAAATTAACTTCATCTTATTCTTGGTTCTTTCGGTAAAGTCACGTAGAAGGGAAACAATAAAAATGATAAATAATAACAATAAGAATATGAATCCCTGCAGTCAAGGTAGGAATCCGACGAGCTATGAAGCCCTCCCTCCCTCGCCGCCCCCGGGGCCTCGCCGGCCGGGCGGTCCTTGTGCACCAGCGCAGCTGCAACTGCCCAGGCCGGTGCTGTTCATTAGCAAGGCCCCCGCGGGACACCGGCGGCCCCTGGGTGGCCTTCAGTGCGGCCCCTGGGTGGCCTTCAGTGCGGCCCCTGGGTGGCCTTCAGTGCGGCCCCTGGGTGGCCTTCAGTGCGGCCCCTGGGTGGCCTTCAGTGCGGCCCCTGGGTGGCCTTCAGTGCGGCCCCTGGGTGGCCTTCAGTGCGGCCCCTGGGTGGCCTTCAGTGTGGCCCCTGGGTGGCCTTCAGTGCGGCCCGTGTGTGGCCTTCAGTGCGGCCCCTGGTGGCCTTCAGTGCGGCCCCTGGGTGGCCTTCAGTGCGGCCCCTGACTTGCACCCCGCCCCTCGCTACAATGCACAAATCGTGAAAACACCCCCCTCCTACCCCCCCATCATCGTCGTGCTGTCAAAACCCCCGACGGTTTGTAATGCGTGTGGCGGTCCTCATGCTGATGATGGCTTATCGGCGAAAGTGGTGAGCACTGAGATGCACACTCTTGAGGTACACACACTGAGGTGTACACACTGAGATGTACACACTGAGGTGTACACACTACTGAGGTGTACACACACTAAGGTGTACACACACTGAGGTGTACACACTGAGGTGTACACACTGAGGTGTACACACTGAGGTGCGCACACTGAGGTACACACACTGAGGTACACACACTGAGGTACACACACTGAGGTACACACACTGAGGTGTACACACTACTGAGGTGTACACACTGAGGTGTACACACTGAGGTACACACACTGACGTACACACTACTGAGGTACACACACTGAGGTACACACTGAGGCACACACACTGAGGTACACACTGAGGTACACACACTGAGGTACACACACTGAGGTACACACACTGAGGTGTACACACACTGAGGTGTACACACACTGAGGTGCACACACACTGAGGTGCACACACACTGAGGTGTACACACACTGAGGTACACACTGAGGTACACACACACTGAGGTACACACACACTGAGGTGTACACACACACTGAGGTGTACACACACACTGAGGTGTACACACACTGAGGTGTACACACACTGAGGTACACACTGAGGTATACACACACTGAGGTACACGCTTTTGCTCGTGTTTTGTTGTTTCTCCGCGCAGCGAATGGGCTACATGGTGGGCGCCGCCGTCATCGCTGGCCTCTACCTCCTCTGCGCCGTCACGGTGTTCTTCGGGGTGAAGGAGCGCGACGGTGAGTCCGTGGTGCTGGGGCGAGTCCGTGGTGCTGGGGCGAGAGCTGGGGCGAGTCTGCGGTGCTGGGGCGAGTCCGCGGTACTCGGGCGAGTTACTCGCCGGGTGCTCGAGATTGCGGACGATGCCATGCGCGTCTTCATCCCGAGCCCAACCGTGGAGCCTTCTGTTACCGTCCGATGGTTTGTCGTGTAACATTTTTGTTACATTTCTTTATAAACGCGTTCATGGACGATGCCAGCGGGGAACGATTCTTAACGACGATACCCCGGGACGATGCTCGACGTGACGTGCGGCCGCATTGGTATGGCGGCGGCGGCGGTGGGGGGGACGGATGACCACAACGTTCGTCCCGTATCGAGGAATTGAACGCGGGGGGTTTTGGCGACTAAACGTCGCCAACCGTCAACGGTTTGCCGGGTCAGATTCGCCACGCGCGGGCGCGCGGGCGGGCGTGCGGGCGGGTAAAATCCCAGCGGCGTGTCGTACGGCCCTCCTCCGCCCGACACGGCCAGAAAGGTACAGTTGTCACGTGAACAAAAGCGGGGGCACAGCGATCGACACGGCGAGTCGGTTTGACGTTGCCCCCACGCCGTTGGGATTGCCCCGACGATGATGACGCCCTACTGGCGATGGACCGACGATGCTGGTCGCGACTGCGAGGAGAAACGCCGAAAAGCGGTTGTTAAACGCGTGTGCATCGCTCTCCGCCGCACGCCGCACCGGTGCTGCTGCAGTTGCATGAATCTCGGTGCCGTTTTCGCTCCCTTCGCGTGAGAAACAAACTTCGTGCGTCTGCCCGTGTCGGGTGGAGGAGGGCCGCTGTGCGACGCGGCGTTGGCATTTTACTCGCGAGCGCCCCACGATCCGACCCCCCCTCCACCCCCGCCGCAAAAAAACAATTGCGAGTCATCGTAGGGAATTTAACGTCGTGCCGTGGGATAATCGCAACGCAGGCAACCGGCTCTTAAAGGCGCCCGTCGGCCAGCGATGCTTCTGCAGCGCTGGTTACTTTGTATGCTTATTTAAATGTATAAAGCGCCCTCAAACAATCGTTCTCAGGGCGGTTTTTATGTCAACGCAACGCGAGCCCGGTACACAGCACCGATCACGGAACAGGAAAGGGGGGGCGGGGAGACGAAATTCCGCAAGCAACAGCCCGGAGATCGATGTCACCAGGGCTTGGTGAAGTGGGTAGGGGGGCGGATTGGGCCCCCCGGGGATTTTCGAGAAGAGAAGAGAAAGTTTATTTGGCGGGGGGTGGGGGGGGCAAACAGAAGGGCAAGAGGGAAGATAACTTAACGTCAAAGGGGACGAAGGGGGGGGGGCGGAGGGACGAAGGGCGTGGGGGAGGGATAGCCAGCGCTGGGTTTTTTCCGCTTCCGCTCACGTTGCCGAAGGCCGCGCCGCTCGCGAAACGGAGGAGGGTACCTCGGAGGAGGTCACGGCGCCCTCCGATCCTCACCCCTGACGACTCTCGGGCGAGAATCGTCCCGCCCCCAGCCGGCGACCTTCACCGTCGGGCAGGGTCACCTCCGCACTGTAGCGGCGGCCGGCCCCCATCGTCCTCCGCGTGTCCCTTGCTCAGAAACAATCACGGGGGGGGGTGGTGCGGGTTGGTTGATAGTGGGGGAGGCGGTGGGGGAGGTGGGCGCAGCTCACGTGTCACAGCGCCGAGGCGGCAGCGCTGAGACGCTCGGCTAAGGTCAAGGATCGCGTTCCTCATTTAGGAGGCGATTCGGCCGCTCGGGTGCCGCAGCGCTTGGGCCAGCAACGCCGAGCTGCCACGTTCGAATCCAGGACCTCGGCAGTGACACTTTCAGCCGCCGTTGGCTTACGGACAGACTGGCCCCCTTCGAGAGGAACGTGGAGATTTTTTTTAACTCCTGGATGACGGGGGCCGTCGACGCAACCGCGGTCCGAGGGTGGAGACGTTGAATGCCGCCAGCGATTGGCTACAGCGCAGATTTCTTCTTCGGTGCCGGAAGCCTCGGCAATGCGTTTCTCAGGGTGGCCGTGGTGTTTGTTGTGTGCGGCTGGGTAATGTTTATTGAAGCAAAACGGTCGGGCCCAAGGGTTTGTCCCTTTTTGCCGACGCCGTCTCTTAGCGACGTTCCACCCGCAGGCTCCACGCCCGCCCCGGGTTTGACGCTAACGGCGTCACCAACGTTACCGTTACGCCGGCACTACGACGGGCGGGAAGTTCGCCCGCCACCAACGACCCATTTACCCGAGCGTCGACACCGTCGTCAGCCACGTTCGATCCACTGCTGGATGAAAGCCTCCCCAAGCCACCGCGAAACGAGCCGTTGCGATGTATTTGGGGCGGCGCCGTGGCGAGATGTAAACAGGAGGTGTCGTGGGTTTGATGCCGACCGTCACGCCTGCTGTGTATTTGTAGTTTGCACGCATCTCTCCCCGTGGTCACGTTGATTTTTATCCGGGTCCTCCAGTTTTCCCTCCCCGTGTAGAATCATGCGTTTTAGAGTATTTGCAAAAAAATTTCTACGCGATAAGCCACTTCGTCGTTCTATCATCTGTGGCCAGGTCGCTTCTGTAAAAGAGCTACATAGCTCAGTGGGCCTTACCTGGTAAAATAAAAATAGTTTAGTTTTTACTTCATCTTCCGTCTAGTTACACACAAAACTGATTTCAAACATTGGATAGATGCCGCTTTCATTTTGCTGCCGCACATGATAATCAAGAATCGCTTTAAATATCGAACGTACCTATTTATACACGTGCACGTTTTATCTATTTATTTTAGTTTCGGCAGGTCAGAAAATCTACCTGTACGTGACTTTTGTTGCGTTTAAGAATCGACGTCAATTGACGAATTGGATCGTTAGCCCCCACCTCCCCCCTAGGATCAGCCGTCAACCTGCGGCCATCCTCGGCAAGCCCTCGCCTATCCACTGCTGGATGAGAGCTGTCCCCAAGCGATACGAAATCCGTCCCTCGCCCCGCCACGACGCAACAATCGGGCGTGGCTCCTCCACGTGAACGACTTTCACGACCGCTGCGTCTCCTCTCGTATGCGTACTTCCTCCTCGGGCTCCCCCCCCCCTCACTGTCTCCGCCCTGCCCCCCAGCCGTCCGCTTGTAACTCTATCCGGCCCTGGCATCCTGCAGAGCCGATCTGTCACCTCTCCGCCGCACCGCTCGCAGACGACAGCGGCACAGTGCTGCGTGCGCAATTCCATCTTAGCCGTAGCTTTCCAGACGAGACCCCCCCCCACATCCCCTGCCCCGCAACTATGAATAGATGCGATGGCAAAATACTTGGATACTTGGGACGTTTACAATTGGTCGCAGGGCTTCGCCGAGTTTATATGCCCGGCTGTGGCATCCGACGGAGCGCGCGGGGCATGCACTTGCGTGCCCCTGTGCTTTAACGCACCTCCCGAAAGCCCGTGTCCCGTGTGGTTATCTTAGTACACCTGTGCACGTGCACGCGTGTTTACATTGTGCGGGGGGATCGCCTGTGTGTGCGCGTGTCGTGTCCTTGCATCTGTGTGTGTGCGTGGTGTGTCCCTGCGTCTGTGTGTGCGCGTGTCGTGTCCTTGCGTCTGTGTGCGCGTGGTGTGTCCGTGCGTCTGTGTGTGCGCGGTGTGTCCGTGCATCTGTGTGCGCGTGGTGTGTCCGTGCGTCTGTGTGCGCGTGGTGTGTCCGTGCATCTGTGTGTGTGCGTGGAGTGTCCGTGCATCTGTGTGTGCGCGTGGTGTGTCCGTGCGTCTGTGTGTGCGCGTGGTGTGTCCGTGCGTCTGTGTGCGCGTGGTGTGTCCGTGCATCTGTGTGCGCGTGGTGTGTCCGTGCATCTGTGTGTGTGCGTGGTGTGTCCCTGCGTCTGTGTGTGTGCGTGGTGTGTCCGTGCATCTGTGTGTGCGCGTGGAGTGTCCGTGCATCTGTGTGTGCGCGTGGTGTGTCCGTGCGTCTGTGTGTGTGCGTGGTGTGTCCGTGCATCTGTGTGTGCGCGTGGTGTGTCCGTGCGTCTGTGTGTGTGCGTGGTGTGTCCGTGCGTCTGTGTGTGCGCGTGGTGTGTCCGTGCGTCTGTGTGTGCGCGTGGTGTGTCCGTGCGTCTGTGTGTGCGCGTGGTGTGTCCGTGCGTCTGTGTGTGCGCGTGGTGTGTCCGTGCGTCTGTGTGTGCGCGTGGTGTGTCCGTGTGTCTGTGTGTGTGCGTGGTGTGTCCGTGCGTCTGTGTGTGTGCGTGGTGTGTCCGTGTGTCTGTGTGTGTGCGTGGTGTGTCCGTGCGTCTGTGTGTGCGCTTGGTGTGTCCGTGCGTCTGTGTGTGTGTGGTGTGTCCGTGCGTCTGTGTGTGTGCGTGGTGTGTCCGTGCGTCTGTGTGTGTGCGTGGTGTGTCCGTGCGTCTGTGTGTGTGCGTGGTGTGTCCGTGCGTCTGTGTGTGTGCGTGGTGTGTCCGTGCGTCTGTGTGTGTGCGTGGTGTGTCCGTGCGTCTGTGTGTGTGTGGTGTGTCCGTGCGTCTGTGTGTGTGCGTGGTGTGTCCGTGCGTCTGTGTGTGTGCGTGGTGTGTCCGTTTGTCTGTGTGTGTGCGTGGTGTGTCCGTGCGTCTGTGTGTGCGCGTGGTGTGTCTGTGTGTGTGCGTGGTGTGTCCGTGCGTCTGTGTGTGTGCGTGGTGTGTCCGTGCGTCTGTGTGTGTGCGTGGTGTGTCCGTGCGTCTGTGTGTGCGCGTGGTGTGTCCGTGCGTCTGTGTGTGTGCGTGGTGTGTCCGTGCATCTGTGTGTGCGCGTGTTTGCTGGCCAGCAGCTGTCGCCATAAGAATGCGCGGTCCCACGGCATACACAAGAAGAAGTTTGACATACATACATACGTACACACACACACACACGTGCTCTGCAATGTTGACGACTTGTCACGGGTGTGACCGACCGACATGCACCGGTTTATTAATTCATTAATTAAACGTGGCTCCCCCACCCGCCCCAAAGAGGCAGTGCGGTGGGTGAAGGGGGTTAGGGCTGTCGGATCTCCCAGGCGCGGCAGTTCAGCCCAACGGGGCAAGCTCCCGAAACGCCCTCCCGGCTCCTGCGGTATATGTCGTCGACGCCACACAGCGCGTGGTGGTGGGGTAAAGTGTGGGGACTCCCCCCCCCCCTCCACCCCCACCTCTTCCGAGACGTCTGCCTTGGCGTGTAAGACTGAGGCCAGAAATGCCCCTCTGGCACAGAGGCCCTTTCCGCCAGCAGTGGCGCTGAGCGAGCGATCCCAGGCCTGCAACCTTTCGCCGCTCAGGTTGCCCGCACGGTGGCGAGATGTTAACTACCTCGCCTGGTATACAGGTGGTCTCGTGGGTTTGATCCCGACCCCGATGCCTGCTGTTTATTTGGAGTTTGCGTGTCTCTCTCTCTCCCCGTGGTGGTTCGCAGGACCTCCGTTTTTTTGGCCTCCACGTTTGTGAATCAACGTCACGCGTCAATGGTATCTGGCTGCTGCAAATTTCCACACGTGATGATGATGAGCCACTTCCGTTGAGCTATCATTTGCGATAGCCAGGTTCGCTTCTGAAAAAAAATCTACGTAAGCTTTATGGGTCCCTTAGCTCGCGAAAAAAATAATTCTCTCAGTTAAGTTTCTTTGTTCGAAATTCGATGCCCGACCGGACGTGGCTCGAATCCAGCAGTGGAGTGGGCGCCCCCCCCCCCCCCCGCGCAGTGCCGTTCTTTAATCACCGGCGAGATTTCTTTCACGAACAATCATCACAACGCCGTGCTCTGATTGAACGTAATTAAATAGCCCGTGATGGCAATCGGTAGAGACACTGTGAAAAGCACAGACCAGAAGCGCCTAACAGAGCATGAAATCCTCTTATCCCCTGGACTTCATCATGACTGGCTACGAGCGTGGATGTTTCTACATTGTTAAATAGACATGCGTGTGTGTGTCTTTGTCTTTGATGGGAAAATGGGGAGTGCAGCGGTGAGCGCTACGCTGCGCTACGAACCCGGCGACCCGAGTTCGACTCCCGCTCACGGCCAACACCGCTGGCGAGTATCTGAACCAGTTCTGGGCTTCCCCTAGGTCGACTCAGCCTCAAACGAGTAGCGGGGAGACAAACGCGGCCGGGCGTGATGCTGGCCACCAACCTCGTGTGCCCTCCCAGCCTTCAGTATTGCTCGCGAACAGCCCCATGGGGGATCTTTGTCTTTGATGGGGAGATGGGTGACGGTGGGAAGCGGGAGTGGAGCGGTCAGCGTGCTTCGCCACAAACCCGGCGACCCGAGTTCGACTCCCGCTCACGGGCTCTGCCGGTGATGAATATCTGAACCGGTCCTGAGCCTCCCCTAGGTCGACTGGGCTTCAAATGAGTCCCTGGGGGGGGGGGGGGTGTGTGTAACATCAGCAGTGGGGAGACAAAGGCGGCCAGGCGTGGTGTTGGCCACCCACACCCCCGTGCGAGCCGTGCCGACCTTCATAGGTGCTCGCCAACAGTCCGTTAAGGCTAAACGGGGGGGGGGGGGGGGGGGGGGGGTCTTTGCCTTTGAGCGACGGCGCAGTGGTTACCGGCACTGTGCCACAAACGCGGCGACCCGAGTTCCATTCCCACTCTCGGCTAACGTCAACCTTTTTAGATGAGTGGGCCAACCACGCCGGCGCTCGCTCGTCGCCATCGTGGCCTCCGACCGTCCTGCGTAGGCTACACGGGGGGGGGGGGCAGGGGGTCTTTGTCGTGAGCGCTCGTAGTATCTCATTAGCTAAAACGCACACAGAGAGTCGGGGGGGCCACTGCTGTGGCGCTCCGCGCAACAATGTCCCTTTTGAGCAGGCCCAGCGAAGGGGGACGGGGACGGTAGCCAACAAACGTCCCCCTCAGCGGCGCGGCGTCTAATCGTCGCGAGGGGCGGAGGAGGGAGAAGGTCTCTTCGTCGCCGTCAAAGCACAAGCCCCACAACCTGTCTCCCGTGCCAGCGGAAATCTCCCCCACCACCCCTCTGAATCCGGGGGGGGGGGGTGGGGCGGGGGGAGAGACCTGGAACAAAGCGATCGTCTTAGAACTGGGAGAAGTTTCGGCTTTGTGTGTTGGGTCCTCGCGCTGACACGCAGGGGGTTGTGGGTTCGGCTCCGACCCCCCTTGACGCCTGCCGTGTATTTGGAGTTGGAGTGTCGCTCTCCCCGTGGTCGCGTGGGTTTTTCTCCGGGTCCCCTCCGGCTTTTTCCCCTCCACATTTGGAGTCGAAGTCACGCGTTGAGAGTGTTTTTTTGGGCTGCGGTGCATTTCCACGTGGTGATGATGAGCCACTTCGTCCAGCTATCGTTTGTGGCCAGGTCGCGTCTGAAAAAAAAAGAGCTACATAGCTTCGTGGGCCCTACCTGGTGAAGAAAAAGAAAAAAATGTTTTTAGTCAATAACTCCCTCCAGTCCCGCACGCTGCTGGTTTCAATTTCACGTCAAAATCCCCGCGTGAGCTCCTTCCTCTGATTCATCCACATTTATGTGGAGGGGGGGGGGCGGGTGGGCAAAGAGCAGGGCAGAGCGGGGGGTACAAGCCACGATGTGATAATAAAATAGTTGGAAGCAATATCCCGGTTTAGTTTTCTTTGGTTCTTTCGGTAAAGTCACGTAGAATGAGAATAAAATAATAAATGAATATAATAACACAATAAAATTCTCACGACGTTTCGGCCACAACACAAGTGGCCTTCATGTGTTGTGGCCGAAACGTCGTGAGAATATTATTGTGTTATTTTATTTTATTAATTTATTATTTTATTCTCATTCTATGTGACTTTACCGAAAGAACAAAAGAAGATGAATCCTTGCAGTCACGAAAGCTTTAAATCGAAATCCCGGTTTAGGTTAAGCGGGGGGGGGGGCGGGGGGGGGGGAATGCGTTCCTAAAAGGTGCGACGACAAATATCGAAACGACTTATTGTATCAAAGCGATTCAACCGTGCAAGTAGTCGTGTAGTAGTAGTAGGTGGGTGGGTGGAGGCGAAGGCTGAGAGGCGACGGATAACGAGAGAGGGCGGACAACAACGATGCTGTCAGCGACGTGAGCGCGTGGGGGTCGAAGGGGACGCAAATCGTGTCGCGGTGTTTTTATTATTAAGCGACGACGCGTTTGCGAACACGACGTTAAAGGGGGGAGACGTAAATCGGGGCGTTACTGTGCGTGTCGGGGCGAGATGGCGCTACCGATTTTTGGAGTCGTCCGACGAGAGGGGGGGGGGGTGAGGAAAGAAAACTGAAACTCGGTCGGAGATGTGGAAGTTTTGGGCCACCGGAGGTTTACATCAGGATGATGATGATGATGATGTCGCTGCTGCGTATTTTCCGCCGAAGCGTGTTTGCCGCGCGGCTTTGTGTGCCGTCTCCGTCGTTGGCACGAAGGCACTGCACGGTGTGCAGCGGCAGAAGTCACCGCGGCAAAATCCATTGTTGTGCTGCATTTCTACGCTCCCACGTCTGGCGCTCCCCCGACCCTCCATCGTTCCCAACCTGCTTTTTAATTGCAATGGTGATGATGACGCAGGGTGGCGATGTGACGACACTGCTGATGATGACGACAATGACGGCGATGACAACAAGGGTGTCATGTGCGCGCCGTACCGTTCGCAGACGGGAATTGCTCGCAGACGGAGAAGGTCGTGCCATTTGCCACGGGCGTCCGCCTGGTGCTGCAGCACGGCCCCTACATGAAGCTAATCTTCGCCTTCCTCTTCACCTCGCTGGGATTCCTGGTGAGTGTGCTCACTCCGCCGACGCACGCAACGTTCGAGGATGCATTCGTCGATCGAACGATCGAACGCGATTTATTCTTGAGATGTTGTGCCGGTGTAATGCCAAACCTCGTCCTCCTCTCTCTCTTTCTCAACCTTGGCGTCTGTTTTATCCCGAAACAAGACGCGGTGATTATGCAACATCTCCTTGCAAGCCACACGCTCGGACACTTTGCTTTGTTAACGACCTCGCCCGGTATACAGGAGGTCGTTGGTTCTATCCTAACCCTGACGCCTGCTGCTGTATATTTGGAGCTTGCATATTCTATCTCACTGTGGTCGCGTGGATTTTTCGCCGGGTCCACCGGTTTTTCCCTCCACATTGAGAACCGACAAGCGTTGAGAGTATTTTGGCTGCTATAAATTTCCGCGCGATAAGCCACTTCATTGGGCTCTCATCTGTGGCTAGGTTGCTTCTGAAAAAGAGTTATACAGCTCAGTGGCAAAATATTTGTTTTGTTGTTGTTCGTTCGTTTCTCAGTCCGCTTGTCCAGGTGAGGGTTGTGGCGGCAGCGCGTTGAGTAGTGGCGGTCCAGACCTCCCTCTCCTTGGCGACAGACGAGCTCTTCCTGGGGAAATCCCAGGCGTTCCCAGGCCAGCGTTGCCGGCTTGTGCCGCATCGCGTTTAGCGGCATACAAAAGGGCAATTTGAGCGGTGATTGTAACTATTCTGCTTGTTTTACCCAGCGAAGGTTTGCCGAGCATCGATAATTATCTTTTCCTGCCACGTTTTTCATAATAGGGGGAAGGTGGGTGATGTTGCTGCCCTGTGCAATCCCATTAGGGTAACTTGCAGGAAACCTGCCGGCATTCGGGACGTTTTAGCCCGACACCGGTTAAAGCACGTGGCGGCGTATTTCAGTTTAACACGTCGGGCTTCCGCGACCGATATCATCTACAATGCTGGGTGTTTTTTTTTTAAACCGGAGAAGCTGAAGGGAACCCACGCGGAAGAGGGAGGGAACAGAGAACAGACGAATGCCACGCAGGGAGAGAAGAGCGCCCGGGTCAGGAATCAAACCCAGACCCCTTTCTTGCTGTGGGGCACGAGCGTCAGTTGCCACTGCCCCGGCAAACTGCCCACCGGTAATGACAGCTGCCTATGATTGTGGGTGACGGTGGTCTCAACGTTGTTGTTGTTGTTTTGTTGTTGTTGCAGCTGGTGGAGGGAAACTTTGCTCTTTTCTGCGTTTACACGGCCGGGTTTGAGAATGACCTCCAGCACATCGTGCTGACGATCCTGGTGAGTAAACTAAACCTAACTCTTTTTTTATTTTACCAGGTAAGGCCCACTGAGCTTGTATAGCTCTTGTTCAGAACCAACCTGACCACAAATAATCGCCCAACGAAGTGGCTCATCGTCACGTGGAAATGAATGCAGAGGGAAAACCGGAGGACCCGGAGAAAAATCCACACGACCACGGGGAGAACGACATGCAAACGGGCGTCAGGGTCAGGATTGTACCCGGGTCCCCTGTTGTATACCAGGCGAGGTAGTTAACATCTCGCCACCGCAGCGCCCATTGCAGTGTTGAACCCTGCAATCGCACGGAGGGTGGCCAACCGCCATTACCCTCCTCAAACAAATCTCACCTGTTCCATCATCGGTTATTTCCCATTTGGCCCTGCGCGGGTGACTTTTCCCCACTGCGGCGTACTATTGTACGTACGTGTACAACGCGTGTGAATGTAAATGTGCATATATATAAAGTTAGGAAATGTCACGGTTTGAAATGTCACGGTTTGCGACCGCATCAAATGTTCAATGTTTATTAATTTTTACCAAAACCGTTTCCAAGTCTGAAAAAAAGCATTTGAGGAATGGGAAGTGAAATTCACACGGCAGAGTGGCCTCGGTGAATCATTCACCCCTGGGGTTTATTTTTTGACCTATGTCACACACACACCGCTCAACATCGATGATAATGCCGTGGGTCCCCGCTTCCGCCGGGGCCAGGATTAACCCTCGCTCGACTCCGTACGATGGAATCACAGTTGCTGAGCACAGGCCTTGCATCATGTCAGGCAGGCAGTAACAAACAGTACTATCAAAGTAGTTAATAGATAATAGTAAATACTAGTTTTTTTTTTTAATAGAGCAAGGTTACTATGAAAACTTGGGGAAAGGAGACGATGGGAGGGAATTTCCAAAGTTGAGCAGTGTACGTTAAAGAAGCAGAGATGAGATCTGACCTGCAGTGAAATGAATGTGTGGGTGAGTGGGTGATTGGTTGAGTCTGTTGTTGTGACCATCAGTGTGATGGATGAGACGAAACACGGGTGGAAAAATGAGCGGGTGAAATTGATGAGAAGAGCTTAACCACGACGATGATAGTGGCGGCAAAGGAGTGATGACGGAGCGACTGACCGCCGACGAGCGAGCAAATCGGAGTGAATCGGTGAGTGCTGGGACCGTCATTCGGCGTGATCGCTGGTTCGTTGCATTCTGTCGAGCGCCGTTAGGTTAGGAGCCGCAGTGCTCAACCATGGGCAAGAGGCATCGATGAGTGCCGGTACAAGAAGGGGGGCAGACAAAATCCTTTGGGGGGCGGGCTCGCAATCGAAAGTGCGCACCGAACCACGCCGCGCCGCCACGGTCTTTCGATAGCCGGGCCGACGGCGGGCATCGGTGCACAACGTGAATCGGACCGCGTCGCGACGCGCAGGGTCGGGGGTTTTTCAGCACAGATTGAAGCCATCGAGCCGAGCTCGCGCCACATTCGGAGGGATCCGGGCAACGCCCGCGGGCGGGTGGCTGAGTTGGCGTGTCGGTGAGGGAGTACGCCAGAAAAATTTATTGCACTAGCCGTCGGACCAGACTCCGTGCGCTCGCGAGCGCTGCACCCGCGCCGGCTGGACAGGGAGGCGGGCGCGCCGTCGAGGGCGCCGTCCCCGTCAACGACACCCTAGTGGATGTAATCTTGGGTGGCGGCGACCGCCCCCCCGCTGCCCCCCCCCCCCCCCCCACTGCCCCCCCCCCCCCCCATTGCCCCCCCTCACCGTCCCCCCGGCGCGGCTGACTGCCATGGGAGCTCGCCGCTTGGCCGGCACCGACTTGGTATGCGGCGCACAATCCCTTCGCTTGTTCCAGACACGAAGGATGAAACCAAAATCAGCGCAGTCATCCGAGCAAAGCTACGGAGCAGATAAAGGTTAAAGCGCAGCCCTTCATTAGCTCGCTGGCAACACCACTGGTGGAAGGGCCTCCACTTAAGAGGAACCCCCCCCCCCCCCCCACCAGAAGGTGGTATTTGGCCTAGTCTTCCACTCTGGCGAGACATCTTGGAATAGGTGGAAGTACCCGCACTTTACACCACCGCAACGTGACCAGAAGGAATGACCAAGTGCGGTGCAACCCATTTCATTTTACGCCGCTGGGGTGGACGGAGGATGCGGCGGCGATTTCGCGAAACTCGCCCCCCATTGTTTTTCAGCTGCCGCGCCGGGAGATTGAGTCGAAGGGGACCACCTCTTGGATTGCGCGTCCGGTGTGCGAAGCAATTCGCTCCATGGCAGGAGATTGGAAATGCATCGAGGAGATGGGAGCACTAAATTTGGCTCGCGCGCAGTTGTGCTGGGTGACGTTGCAAGAGCTTGAGAGATGGCGTGGGCTTGGGGAGGCCTTCATCCAGCTGTGGATTGATCATGGCTGACGATGATGACCGGCCATTTTGCTCAATAATTAAGTCGTCGTTATGTACACCACGCTGTCAGTCCACACTGCTGGATGATGGACTCCCGCATACCGTGTTGGTCACGGGTGGGTTTGTCTGACCATACTTCACCATTCTGGTCAATGTGGGTCGGTGTGGGTGGGCGGGGCACGTAGAGGCGGAGGCTGCGTTGCTCGGGAAGGAGGAGGCGGCTCGTTAAACGGGTTAATTGAAGCGAGGAGACCGCGGTTGAGGGCAGTTTGCCCCCCCTTTGAATTCGTTCCAGGAGAACGAGCATGGGGGTGAAGTCGTTTGTTTGACGACGATGAGCACGCACACACTCACTCACCGCACCGTCGCTTCTGAACGAGCTGTCGAGCCGACGCGTCCGCCATGCTAATTCACGAGACTCGGTACAGATGAGACTGCTAGCCAGAGAGAGTGGATCTCCTAGTGAATTCACGAGACTCGGTACAGATGAGACTGCTAGCCAGAGAGAGTGGATCTCTTAGTGAATTCACGAGGCTCAGTACAGATGAGACTGCTAGCCAGAGAGAGTGGATCTCTTAGTGAATTCACGAGCCTCAGTACAGATGAGACTGCTAGCCAGAGAGAGTGGATCTCTTCGTGAATTCACGAGGCTCAGTACAGATGAGACTGCTAGCCAGAGAGAGTGGATCTCTTAGTGAATTCACGAGACTCGGTACAGATGAGACTGCTAGCCAGAGAGAGTGGACCTCTTAGTGAATTCACGAGGCTCAGTACAGATGAGACTGATAGCCAGAGAGAGTGGATCTCTTAGTGAATTCCCGAGCCTCAGTACAGATGAGACTGCTAGCCAGAGAGAGTGGGTCTCTTAGTGAATTCACGAGGCTCAGTACAGATGAGACTGCTAGCCAGAGAGAGTGGATCTCTTAGTGAATTCACGAGGCTCGGTACAGATGAGACTGCTAGCCAGAGAGAGTGGATCTCTTAGTGAATTCACGAGGCTCAGTACAGATGAGACTGCTAGCCAGAGAGAGTGGATCTCTTAGTGAATTCACGAGACTCAGTACAGATGAGACTGCTAGCCAGAGAGAGTGGGTCTCTTAGTGAATTCACGAGCCTCAGTACAGATGAGACTGCTAGCCAGAGAGAGTGGATCTCTTAGTGAATTCACAAGGCTCAGTACAGATGAGACTGCTAGCCAGAGAGAGTGGATCTCTTAGTGAATTCACGAGACTCAGTACAGATGAGACTGCTAGCCAGAGAGAGTGGGTCTCTTAGTGAATTCACGAGCCTCAGTACAGATGAGACTGCTAGCCAGAGAGAGTGGATCTCTTAGTGAATTCACGAGACTCGGTACAGAAGAGACTGCTAGCCAGAGAGAGTGGACCTCTTAGTGAATTCACGAGGCTCAGTACAGATGAGACTGCTAGCCAGAGAGAGTGGATCTCTTAGTGAATTCACGAGGCTCGGTACAGATGAGACTGCTAGCCAGAGAGAGTGGATCTCTTAGTGAATTCACGAGGCTCAGTACAGATGAGACTGCTAGCCAGAGAGAGTGGATCTCTTAGTGAATTCACGAGCCTCAGTACAGATGAGACTGCTAGCCAGCGAGAGTGGATCTCTTAGTGAATTCACGAGGCACAGTACAGATGAGACTGCTAGCCAGAGTGAGAGTACAGAGCGCACGATGTTTTATGGTCATTATACGCCACGTGCAACAATTTTGCTGCAGGATAAAAAAAAGTATCAATTAAAATATATAGGAAGCCATTCCCCTTTGCCTGGAAGGAAGTGACATTCGAATTTCCCCCTTTCTCGCGAGAAGAGGAAAAAAAACCCAGTTGGAGTAATTTTCGGTCATTGAATTTGCATGCGCGAACACGCAGCTTCTGGGGGAACCAGGTGGCTGAGCAGTCAGCTCTGAGCCGGCACCTTTCGAGACCTGGGTTCGATGCCAGGTTTCAACCGCTTCTGATAAAAACGGTTTCTCAAGTGCGGCGAGTTGATGGTCTCAGCCCGGTCACCAATGGCTAAACCCGGTTTAAGTCAATCACGACTCTGAAGTTATGTTTTGCCCTAAATTTGGATACATTCCAGCTCTGAGGATTGCACAAAAATGTAGTTTGTCATGCGATGAACGTTACTCTCTCCGCGATGGGAGGTGCAAAGCACAGCCACCGCCACTCGGCGTGTGTGGAACCACAAGCCACTTGGAACGCACATCTCGGAGGTAGCTCTGGGGTATCCGCTTCCAAGGGGCCGTCTTCGAATACGTAGTCTCGTCGCACTGCTCTGCGAGATTTCCGAACGGATTCTTCGCCTCCTGACGACGCAACGGCCGTAGCGCAATTGAGACAAAACTCGGATAAATTATGACACATATATACACAGAATAAAGCGATGCAGTGGCAGTATCTTGCGGGGAGCTGTAGCTGGAGACACCGTCACGTCGCAAATACGTGTGAGAGATGGCGACAGCTTGGGGGCAGGCCTTCATCCAGCAGTGGATAGATTGTGGCTGCCGATGATGATGATGAAGCAGCAGCAGCAGCTGTGAGATGAATAAGCCAGTGGCAACGTTTTCAAAACATAAAGGAGGGGGTTAGAACGACGGATGCATCGATCAAGGGATCTTGAGCACGCGGACACAGGGGCAGTCCAATCGTGGTGCTAAGAATCGATGGCAACCCCTTGTCAGTGCCTCGCTTATTACAGACCAATTCAGACCTTATTGGCCACCCCGTGCCCCTTATACATTTCAACGTTCATCCTACAAAGTCCCATCACAAGGGAGAAACCCAGACAAAAACAATGTTTTGCCCGTATTGAAATGTGTGTACGTCGTGTGGACCTGAAAACTCAGTTTCCCTGTACGGTACAAGAATACGGGCTGGAGCGTGTGGGTTGACGGGTACGCTAATTACAATGTGTCTGGTAGTGGCGGGTTTAACGACACATTCATATTTACGCGATCTAACCCTCGTTAAAACCAAACCCAACGTCTCTTTGACGTTCGCGTGTCCATTGCCCTTCCGGGACGCACCGCCACCCCTGTGCCCAGCCAAATTTGCCCGCCTATCCGGTGGCACGGCGGGGGGGGGGGGTGGTTACCCGCGGTGGGGTAAAACGTGGGGGTACACCCGTCAACCAACAACTTCCCCGAGACACATTTTAGTTTAATTTTTTTATCTGTTTTACCAGCGTGTGGAAGAGTAGGCCAAAAATAGCGTCCGGCGCAAGTGTGGTCTGCGCAAGGGTCTTGTGTTGCGGATGAGCACGGATCACGCGGAGGCATCTTGAAGAGTGAATCTGTTGTTGGTCACGTGAGCTCGCAATTGCAGGGCTGCGCATTTATCCATAAGAGGTGTTTTTTTGGGTTAGATGGCGTAAATATATAAATGTGTCGTTAAAACCCGCCACAAAAAAAAACTCTCATGGATATTGGTCGCGAAAGCCTACGTGTTAAACTGTGCTTTTATGTGTGGCCACAAGAGTAAAAACATATAATCGGTGACGTTTTGGGCAATAGTCCTCCTTGTTGCAGAATCAGCATATTTATACTGGAGGAATCCGATGAGCTATAAAGATCTTTTTCACAGACATACCTGTAAAGGGGCAGGTAAATAGCGTTACAACAAACAATACAAACACGTGATAGTAGTGCAAGGTCGTAAAACAAATCACCCAAAAACAAACAAACTACAACGGAAACTCTCCCCGTCCTACCAGGCAAAGCCTACCGAGGCATTTGCACATCCTGATGGGTTTTTGCTCTCTCGCTGTACCTGCCAAACAAATCAAACACAAAACTCAACTTCGGTCGTCTGTGCCTTTACTCTTAAGGCCACGCGGTGTTTTTCTTGACGAGTCGTGTCGAGAGATTATTTTTTTTTAAATTATTATACGCTTTTATTTAACTCATTGTCTGTTGTTGTCATCGTTGTTGTATCCTCAAATATTGTAACTCAATTTTAACCCACTTCCAAATGTGGTATCGACTGCAAACTTGGTATACTTATGTCACACTGATGACAATACTATATTCTATCATAACAAATAAAACATATTTTTCAATATTCTTTTTTATATGTTTCGGCTTGGGTCTAATTGTCCACGGTCAACTGACGTTGGCTGTCATTTTTACACGGTCCCTTACGTTATGGCAAGCTTCGGGGCCACTTCCTGGAGTCGTGGAATTCTTCAATTACTAGTACATTCATGTTAAAAGCGTGTTTTAAAAAAAAGTGTTTTAAAATATTACTTATTTTTTGTGCCGCTGTCACTAACTGTTGTGGTATCCCCACCAAAATCATCGTCAGCATCACCACCGTCGCATTGTGAACGTTGTGCGTTGGGCCCTGTGTCGTGGGTTCCAGCCCCAAACCCAGCTGCTGCTGTATATTTGGAGTTGTCTCTGTCTCTCTCTCCGTCCGTGGTCGCGTGGATTTTTAATTCCCTCCGAGTCCTCCGATTCTTTCTTCCCCTCTCCGTTTAAGTAACACTGTAACACATTTTTTTTGTACCTGGGTAGTAAGTGTTATTTTCCAATTGCTTATGCCTCAAAGGTACAGAAAATAGCTATTATTTCCCCACAAACTTTGCTTTTGTGTCCAGGACAGTGATATTTTGGAAATGTACCTATTTTCAATGAGAAAACGTGGTGTGCATTTGTGTCATTCCTTCCCGTAAAGTCCTGGTCACAAAAGCAAAGTTTGTGGCGAATTAGTGCCATTTTCTATACTTTTTGAGGCATGAGCAATTAGAAAATAACACTTACTACCCAGGAACAAAAATCGTGTTACATCGTAGAATCAACGTTATTTGGCGAAGAGGCTGCTACGGCGGCTGCTGCTGCCGCCGCCGCCGTACATGTCCACAACGTGACACGACGAACCTTCGTCGAGCTTTCATCTGTGATGGCCCACGGCGAGTGTGGGGGTGTTGCCCTCACAACCGGTGACGAATAAACGCAGTTCGAAGTTTTCACCGTGAGTCACGAACGAACCTTCGTGGCATTCCGAGGACCCAACATCGAGGGTCGTTCACACACCGCCTGCGCGGTTCCTCCCTCCCCTCCTCTCCTCCCTCCCCATCGTGTTCGCCCTCCCACTCGAAGTGGCGTGATGAAGGGAGCCACCCAATCCCTTCTCGCCCCGTGGGCCTCGCTCGCTCGCTGCACCACCCCCCCCACCGCCGCTCGCTGCACGAGGGGTTACTCCGAGTCAAAGCGAGGAGGAGGAAACTCCTCCTCGCTTTGACTCTGAGTAACCTCCTCATATTCTCGGCACGCACGCTACGCCACGCAAGGCCACCTAAAGAAAAAATTGCAACAAAAATCAAACGCGATAGATTACCCCACCCCATCTCACCCACTCGCCCACCCCATCTCACCCACTCGCCCACCATGGTGTAGCCTGAACTGACTGTTGGGGTCAAGTGCTGCTGCTGCTGTTAGCGAGTAGCACCTATGAAGTCCGGCACGGCACGCGACCAATATCATTCATCATACAGTTTTTTTTGGGGGGGGTGGTGGGGTTAGATCACGTAAATTTAAATGCGTCGTTAAAACCGCCATCCACCACCCGACACAGCCAATTAGTAAGGTTCGTCACGTGAAAAGAACGTGCCAATGCGTTACCAGTACATCACAAACCGACTGTGTTGTTGTAGAGCGACGCGTTGTGTCTACCGTGACGATGAAACGGCGTGTGTGTGTTCAGCGTCCCTTGACTTGCGACGAGATGCTCCTGTTCTGCCTATTTTGGAACACCGAGACTTGTGTCCAGCAAACCGCACCTCGCGCGCGGCTGGCTTACGCACGGTTGCGAAAAAAAGTTCGGAGTAAAAGTCCCATACGCATCGTAAAGGGCGGAAGAATTTTGAGAGAGAAAAAAATACGGTTGCGAATGTGCATGCACGTTGGCTGATGATGGCACTTCATTCACGTTTAAGTAGTAATTGGCATGTCACGAATGTCGTCTCCCACAGGCATGTCATGGTTTGGCCAAGATTCGGTTTAAATAGTCGATTATTATTTTTGTTGTGTTTTTTTTTACCGCTTCACTTGTGTTGTATCAATACAACAATAATTATAATGATGCCCTGTCTATGTTGCACAGCTGTCTGTTCGCCCCAGTTGGCCGAAGCGTAATATTTGCATGTGATTGTCGCAAATGAATAATATGCTGGCACTTTCACACGCGCGATTTGGCGCGTGTCGAGTGGGCACGTCGTTAAAACCCGATTACTCATGCGGTAATCCACCCCTCCAATAAATCAATACGTTACTGATGTACATGGCCACGATTCGATTCAATAATTAATTCCCCCCCGTGCCCCCACATCTTTGGACCATCTCATATTTAAATCAACCCAAGCCTCTCCCAAATCACGTGGCTTGTGTGTGTCCACCCCCCCACTCTGCATCATTCCCCTGTGATCTGTAGATTTCTCCGTTTAAATCAGCTGAAGCCTCCCCCAAATCGCGTGGCTTGTGTGTGACCCAACCCCCCACTCTGAATCCGTGCTCTCTTCCTGCCCCCTGTGAAAACAGACGCCGATCCGTGCAGCAGCATCGAGGCCCTTGAACGCCAATTGCAATTGAACGCCGCTCTGTAGCAGCGTGGAAGGGGAAAGTGCTGCCGACTCGTGTCGCTCAGCGGTTCACTCGCTTAAAGGGCACCTCAAGAAGTAGTTGTTCTGGCGTGTGCTTCCACGGACCGTTCTCTAACGTGGCTGCTCTGCTGTGTGAGCGTTCCGACATATATATACAAAAATATTATCTTTGCCCATGCAGCATCCGTCGTAAGCAGGAAAAACTCTGGACCGGTGTCAACTTCAAAGCCCCCAGGACTCCTCGGCCCCTCGCTCCAATCGACATCGCCGCGGTCGCTTAACGTGCCGCCGTTTGTGCTGTCGTTGGCAGGGCACCGCGGCGCTGTCCATCCCGCTGTGGCAGTGGTTCATGGGAATGTTCGGGAAGAAGGCGGCCGTGTATGTTGGCATGCTGGTAAGTGGGAAACGTTGGCCCCGCGACGCACCACAGCGTGCAACGTCTTGCATCGACTCGGCTTACTACAATGCATTCTTTAACCAAGCTGTCATCGTCGGACATGATTGATCCACTGCTGGACGAGGGCCTGCGCAAGCAACCACCAACTCCCGTGGTCGTGCAGCATCATAATTCACCCAGCACCTGCACATGAACCGATTTTATTGCTTCATCTCCCCCGAGGATGTCCGCCCGGACGTGTTCTCTTGCTTAGCCCAACCGCTCTGTTATTATAATTTTAATGAGTTGACAACATTAATTTACAGCTCCATCTCAATGATCTGCTGGATGAAGGCCTCCCCATTCCACTTTGGTCTCGCGGGTTGATCGACGCCGGTCAGTCCGGGTTGGTGAATTGTGGGGCTCGGGTGTAATACGTGATTTGTTAGGTTAGAAACACTTTTTTGTGTTTAGTTTGTTGTCTGACCCCCCCCCCGCACCTCCGATTAGCACGGTTGGCTATGTACAGTGCGAAATAAGCTCAACCCGACAGACAGTTAGTCTGTGCTGCTCTCATATTGCCTGCGTGACAAGTGGGCGAAGTTTTGCCCATAACCTGGGCAGCTTGCTCACGAAACTGAAATCGACTAGTGTGTAATCTATTTTATACAGGAAGTGGTCTCGTTTTGCCACCGGCTGATAAATCTCCCGCCTTTTCTCACACCCACAACGATTGTAGACACGCGCGCATGTGTGTATGCGTTTTGAACCACTTTCGCACGGTATGTAGCCAACCGTGCTAATCGGAGTTGCGGGGGAAGGACAACAAACTAAAACATAAAAAAATGGTTCTAAAGAAATTAGTTTCCAAACTAGATTTGAAAGTGCGTAGCTCCAGTGGCTTGATGATGAGGTGGTGTTGGTGATGGTGAGGTGGCGATGGTGATGAGGTATTGATGATAAGGTAGTGATGGTATGCACGTTGGACTTCTTTCGCACCGCACGTAACCAACTGTGCTAATCGGAGGTGCGGAGAAGGACCACAAACTAAAACTCAAAAAGCAGTCCTCGCCAGCGCAACTGCTGTGGCCGTTAAAGTGACGCACGCGTTGCTGAAACGACGCGATGTTGAAATTGCACGGCCGGCTAACGGCACACACAGACACACACACACATAGACACACACACAGACAAAGATTATACGTATAGCCTTAACAGACCGTAGGGGCAAGTGCTGTCAGCAAGCACCTATGAAGGCCGGCATGGCACACGAAGGCAGTGGTTGGCCAGCACCACGCCCGGCCGCCTTTGTCTCCCCAGTGGCGATGTTTACACACCGCACCAGGTACTCATTTGATGATGCCTCGACCTAGGGAAGGCCCATGGCCGGTTTCAGATAATCGTCACTGGTGTTGGCCGTGAGCGTTAATCGAACTCGGGTCGACGGGTTCATAGCGCAGCGCGCTAACGGCTACAGTACCGCTCCCCACACACAGACACACACACACAGACATCACAATAATTAATTTATCCAGACGGACTCACGTTTCATTAGCTAAACGTGATACGTGATATCGGGGCAGCCTGTGGGAATTGTGGATTAATGATTCCCATTTTTTTAAATAGGCAAACCCCTCCACCGGTTTTCGTCTTTCAGGGTCTCGTCAGCAGAGCCTGTGTCACCCTTTTATTAGGAGCGGAGTGATGTTACCCGTTCGTTACCCCTCCCCTGCACGTCCAGAGATTCCACACTTCGATACGATTCCTTTCCAGAATCGACGTTGGGCGTGCAATTCCGTGCGCGCATCGTGAGCATAATCGTTCATTCTACAGTCGGTGCATCCTAAAAATGGTTATAATAGTTGAAATAATTTTGTGGTATTTTGGTGTAGTTTGTGCAAACGGCATCTCAAATTGCTGTGGAGTTCGTAACGCGCAAAGAGCGGTGAGGCAGCCAGAACCGGCCCCAGCTGTTGCCCAAGCTCTGTGGCCTTATATTCTGATGTTTGACCAGCTCCGTCGAAAAAGAAGTGTTGAGTCATAATGACTTTTCGTTTATCCACGAAGAATTATAAATCATCGTTCGAAAAGGAAAGTCCATCCTAATTAATGATAACTTTTTAAATCGAGGTTACGCTTGGAATATGTGGGCTATTTTTTGGTTTTCATTATCCTGTTTGAGAATTTGTCCGTTACCCTATATTATACATGATTTATTATAACACAATTTTTACAAATCGCAGCTACCGCGTCACAGGAGAACAGCAGCCCCTGTGCTCTTGTGTTTTGGCCTCATAGGGAAATACACGTGGGGATCAAAGGACACGTGCAGGACACTTTTCAAGAAGTGGATGGTGGCCAAAGGTCTGGACTGGCAGGCAAGGAATGGAATGTGTCCCTCCCCCTGACAGGGTCTGCAACTGGGGAGATGGGGCAATAAAATCAGTTATTGCGTAGGTGCTTGGTAGATGATTATTATTATTATATCGCAGAGGGAGGTGGCAGCAGCCTGGAGAATCCCTTCGTCCAGCAGTGGATTGAGCATGGCGCATGATGATGAATGGCACAATCTCGCTCCTCGGCCTTAACACGGACACCCGCGGGGGTTGGTGCGTCTGGGTGTGTTGTCATACACTCGGGAAGCCTTGTGCCAATGGAATACCGGGCTTATCCTAAACGGCTAGTACAGTATCCAGTGTCATTTTCTGTGCTATTGGTCGTTCGTCTGAGATACTGCATGGCATGTAATGAGTCATTATTTATATATGGATTGGCGAACGTGAGTCGGTGCACTTTAACGGCGTCGTTTAAATGGACCGCACCGTTTAACGTGCAGACGGGCGTCACTAACACTCGAGTTTAAATTATAATAAAAGCTGCAATCGAGGTATGTAATGGGGTTCACGTGGCGGCATGTAGGCCACGAGAGGCCGCTACATTCACTGCAATGTTGCCGTATTTTCCGGATTTATCAGACGCTCCGGGAAAAACGATATGCGTCCCACAAACTCGTTCCCGGTGTCAAGAAAGCGAGACGGAAAGACCCTTCCCGTGTAGCCTGCAACAGACGCTTGGTGCAAGTGCTGTTAGCGAGCACCTAACGAAGGCCGGGCACGACACACACACGAGGGGGTGGGTGGCCAGCAACACTGCCCGGCCGCCTTTGTCTCCCCAGTGGTGATGTTTAAACGTACGTATGTTGGGCTTACTTCGCGCCTCCGATTAGCGCGGTTGGCCACGTGCGGTGCGAAAGAAGTTAAACGTTTCGCGCAACGCGTTTACACGATGTGGCGACGTCAACGCCACTTGGTGGCTAACGGCGGCTGTCGTCGCTGTCGCGTGCAGTTCGCGGCGATTAGCCCACTGTGCCGTGAACCCCACTGATTCTATACCTGGCTGCAGATAGCGACGTGTCTGGGTGTCTGTGTTCCTGGCCACATCACCCCACCCACTTATGTCCGTTGCCAGCCTTAATAGGTGCTTACTCTTTGGTTCTATTCGGTAAAGTCGCGTAGGTAAAAATAAAATAGCAAAAAATCACGACGTTTCGGCCACAACACAAGTGGCCTTCATCAGGTGAAGGGACTGGACTGTCCAGAGGACAGCGTTTGAGTGAAGACAGCAAGCCCAGGTCGCGTCCTTTAAGCTGTGTGGGAGGAAAAAAAAAGGTGCTCTCTGACAAGCCCTCCCCCACAGGCTGTGTTTGGCGACACGGGCGACCATTGCCTTTTTACTTCTTTGTTTTTGGAGAGCAACGATAACGCACGCCTCACCGTCTATCTCTGCGTGCGTTATCTAAGTAGGCTATGGGGTGGGGGTTGCGCGTTGATGACATTGCCAGCGTGCGGGTGAAAGTTCGCTGGCGATACGTTGCAGATAATTCCAGCTGTTTGCGGGGACTTCCACGCCGCGTGCTCGCGCACACGGACGCAGGTCAATGTTCAGGCACCGATCTGCGCCGGGTCTCCACGTGGCAGAGGCCACTTCGCGGAGCCTTTCCCAATATTTGTCCGCGACCAAAACAACATCGCCGACGGGTTATTCCTCGTCGTACGTCCGGGCCAGGGTTAACGTGTTTCTTTGAAACCTCCTTTCGTCATCGGAGGAACTACTCGGACACTTCCGAACACCGCGAAGATGTTTGTTTTTTCTTTCTGTGACCAACGAAGCGTCAGATGTTTTGTTGTACAGCCCAGGGCACACACGCCTGGGTGCACCTCCCGATTAAAAGCGATTGGCCACGTACGGTGCGAAAGAAGTTCAGCATGCATACGTTAATGAAGCAAGGCCATTTACTCGGGCGCAAAATAAATCCGGCGCAAATGCGCAGTGACGCGTCACGAGAACGGCTGATGGGCGGTGAGAGACGAAACTCGAGTGGCGGTGGCGACCGGGGGAATGACGTGAAGGGAATCGGAGAGAGATGGCAGAGTTCTGGAGGTCGCGACCGGACAAGAGCGGCCGAGGAGGAGAGAGGGGATGTATTGGGAGTGAACGGGGTGGGAAGTTACAGGCTAACAACGATGACGACGACGACAGTCGGGGAAAGCCTCGCCGAGTCTCGTGACAATTTTTTTTCAGGAGGTGCCTCTTGATAGGTTTTTTTGAGTGGTGGAAGTTTGGAGAAATCCGTTTTTTGGCTTGCGTGGTGGCTCCTCGCGGACGCTGACGGCCGTCCACGTCAGGATGACAGCCCCCCACGCAGCCCAGCGTCTCGCCGCCTCCTAGTGGCGACACAGTGCCACCGGCAGGCTGGGAGTGACACCTGCAGGCTGGGAGTGACACCTGCAGGCTGGGAGTGGCACCTGCAGGTTGGGAGTGGCACCTGCAGGCTGGGAGTGGCACCTGCAGGCTGGGAGTGGCACCTGCAGGCTGGGAGTGGCACCTGCAGGCTGGGAGTGGCACCTGCAGGCTGTGAGTGGCCAGCGATTTCCTTGCGCAGAGGACGAGAAACAAAGGTTGAAAAAATAAGCAGAGGCGTGTTTTTTTTTTACCCTTGCTGGCAATGCAACAGGAGTTCAGTTAAGATGTTCAAACACCCAACAGAAACATTTTGTGAAAAATCAAGTAACTGCATTAACCACACGCAGCCCTTGTGGTGAACATGCACACGAACTTACTCTGATAATAAATGATGCATGGTCTTTGAAACTGATTGTCCTACACCAGAGACAGCGGCCTTCTCTATGGCCGATTCTCACCACCAGTGTCAGACCAGAGAACAACGCCAAGAGGCGAACCGGACAAAGACAACGCCACACGTGTCAGAGCGCTCATAGCTCGCGGTGAGCAGCTATGAGAATAAAGATTATCCTCCCAGACTATATATGGCCACCGTTGCAGTGGTTCTCAACAATTGTTTGGGCGACTGTGTACCCCCCCGCCTTGTTGAATTTTGTTTCGACCGAGCAATCCAACCCAACATGGTTCTGAGAAATAAATCTATGGATAATGAACCTCAATATTTTACTGGTAGGAAACGTAGTGGACTGGAAGCCCAACCGGGATTAATTCACAGGAGGCAGGGGATTAATTGTGTGTGGATGTCTGTCCACGTGTATCCGGACACCCGGATATATAACAAATGCGCTCTTAGTGGGCATTACTGGTAGGAAAAAATTCCTACCAGCCCCCTCCGCAGGAATGTGTTAACCAATGTCCCATTTTGTGAGGTATCCCGAACTCCGCTAGTAACTGCAAAAGCGAACGTCAGAACAAAAAAATAACGGACGCTCTCGCACGCGTGACGTTATTTGCCCGCGCTCCGTGGTTACTCTTGGAAGCCCGCATTGTTTACGACCGATGCATTTAGAAGGCTCTCTTATATCCTTTCTGGGTCGCCGTACGGATTCAAATTGCTACCGCAGTTATTTTATCTTGGCAGTGATTATTCACCAACGCCACCTCACGCGAGAGTGAGAGCATTTCACAACATGTATAATTCGCCTCGCGGTACCCCCGGGGGTAGTGGGGGGGGGGGGGTCCGGGTACCCGCGGTTGAGAGCCACAATAGTCTGGTTGGACAAGTGCCGTTAGCGAGCACCTGTGAAGGACCGGCAGGGCACAACAGCCACCACGCTCAGTCCACCTTTGTCTCCCCAAGAGCACCCGTTTGAGGCCAACGCGACCTAGGCAGGAGGTCCAGGAACCGGTTCGGATAATACCGCCGTGATTGGGAATCGAACTGGGGTCACCAGGTTCGTAGCGCAACCCATGATGATTATTTCATCATACTTGCTGGTGAGTGCGGGTTGAAGGTTGGGGGGGGGGGGGGAATTTATTTTGCAAATCGTGATGTCACAATGACCCACGTGGGGATGAGCCCCCATCTGTCGTCAGACCTCGGAAGCTAAGCAGGGAATTTTGAGCCTGGTTTGTACTTGGCTGGGAGAGACTGCCTGGGAATATAAAAAAAAACAGGCGCTGTAGGATTGGTGACTGAGGGCAAGGGAGTCTGGCTGTCTGTGTACGCGATGGATTGCTCAATCTATCTGTGCGGAGTTCCACGTGGTGGCTCTCCTCCCACACGAAGCCAAAGTTATTGTTCGTGGAAATCGGCCAAAACGTCCCGATGTGGCGAGAATCTCCTGACAACGAGACTCCGTGAGGATTTTCTTCGATCAGGAACATTGCTTTTATGCCTACCCCATCTTAAAAAAAGTAAAAATAGCATCCTCTAAATGTTAATAACATAACATCACTCCTGCCACCTCCACTCGCCCTCCCCCCCCCAGCAAAAGCCACTGTTATACTATACTTATATACTTATGTGCCCTCCCACATTGAGCATTGTGGTTGTGTGGTCAAAAAATCCCCATGACCTGCACGGCGTGGGGGCGGCCTTCATCCAGCCGTATATTGACACACAAGCTGTGAATTATTATTTTATTATTTCATATTCAGTTCAGCGCGTAGGCTATCGTGTTATTGCTTTGCATTAAAATATTAAAATACGAATCACGTAGCATCGCCAGCCAATGAATACCAAAGATTTTGGATTAGAACGGTTGAGTTTGATATTAAAACCGAAACATAAACGAAAATTAATGTTATACTGCCCTCCGCTGGCTGTGTTTTGGTATTACGATGTCCAATGTATCGAACGGCAGCGTAGCGGTTAGCGCTACGCTGCCGTTCCATACACCGAGCTCAATTCCTGCTAACGGCCAACACCGACGACGATTATCTGAACCGGTCCTGGGGCCTTCTCCCCTAGGTCGACTCGGCCTCAAATGAGTACCCGGTACGGTGCGTACGCATCGCCAGTGGGGAGGCAAAGGCGGTCGGGCGTGGTGCCGGCCATCCACCCCCTGGCGTGCGGTTCTGGCCTTCATAGGTGCTACTCGCTAACAGCACTTGCCCGCTACAGTCTGTTAAGGCTGTCCAATGCAGTACAGATATTCGATTCAGACCCATGGAGTCATTGATTTTTTGTTACATTGTGGGTGAACGACGATAGCACCGCTAAGCGGCTGCGCAGGTGACGTGAACCCGTGACCAACGCCGTCGTGTACGAATTGAAAGGGCGCTTGCTTTTCCCCGGGTACGCGCAAATGTTGTGAAGGCTCCGCTGGCAGCGCAGCAACAATGTGGACTCCCTCCCCTCTTGTTCCGTCCGTATGGGATAGAGTGTTTCCTCCTCGCACCTGTGGGTTTTCTCTGGGCGCTCGACATTGATTGCTCGGTGGGGGAAGAGCGGGGGAATTGCGGCTGGTTATGTTGATGATTATTCGTTTGTTTGAGATACTGTGACCCTGTAGGATTCGAGGCTACGTCGACCGGTGGCGTCGTCTTCTCACCCGTGTGCCGCCCTTGTCTCCTCCTCCCTTCCCCCCCCCCCCCACCATCTTCCCGTCCACAGTGGATCTTTCCATTCCTCTGCATCCTCTACTTCATCTCCGATAACCTGGCGGTGGCCTACATTGTGGCCGCTGCGTCGGGGATCAGCGTGGCAGCCGCGTACCTCCTGCCCTGGTAAGCGGTGACCTGAACCAGCTTCCCGTTCAGTTTCGATCGCGTACGTTCGCATCATCGGAACGGGATCGATTCGCGAACGGAACCGGAAAGTGAAAGGCCGCACGGCAGGGGGTAGCGGCACAGTTGTTAGGGTGCGGTTGTGGTCGCGGCGAGTACGTTAGTGTCAGCGCTACGGCCTCTCTAAATAAAAACAACGCTAACCGGCCTGGGCGTTCATTACATATTTAGCCTGATTTTAAATGCCGCCAACACCTTCGCTCGAATCGGACGGTGGTCACAGTGCCCTCAACTTGAACACATCGTCAACCAGCACGCTGCACCATGAACACCCCACACGCTGCAGCATGAACACCCTACACGCTGCAGCATGAACACCCTAAACACTGCACCATGAACACCCTACACGCTGCACCATGGACACCCTAAACACTGCACCATGAACACCCTACACGCTGCAGCATGAACACCCTAAACACTGCACCATGAACACCCTAAACACTGCACCATGAACACCCTACACACTGCACCATGAACACCCTACACGCTGCACCATGAACACCCTACACGCTGCACCATGAACACCCTACACGCTGCACCATGAACACCCTACACACTGCACCATGAACACAACCACACGCTGCAGCATGAACACCCCACACGCTGCACCATGAACACCCCACACGCTACAGCATGAACACCCCACACACTGCACCATGAACACCCTACACACTGCACCATGAACACCCTACACGCTGCATCATGAACACCCTGCACACTGCACCATGAACACCCTACACACTGCCCCATGGACACCCTAAACACTGCACCATGAACACCCTACACGCTGCACCATGAACACCCTACACGCTGCACCATGAACACCCTACACGCTGCACCATGAACACCCTACATGCTGCACCATGAACACCCCACACGCTGCACCATGAGCACCCTACACGCTGCACCATGAACACCCTGCACACTGCACCATGAACACCCTACACGCTGCACCATGAACACCCTACACACTGCACCATGAACACCCTACACACTGCACCATGAACACCCTACACGCTGCACCATGAACACCCCACACGCTGCACCATGAACACCCTACACGCTGCACCATGAACACCCTACACGCTGCACCATGAACACCCTACACGCTGCACCTTGAACACCCTTCACGCTGCACCATGAACACCCTACACGCTGCACCATGAACACCCTACACGCTGCACCATGAACACCCTACACGCTGCACCATGAACACCCTACACGCTGCACCATGAACACCCTACACACTGCAACATGAACACCCTACACGCTGCACCATGAACACAACCACACGCTGCACCATGAACACCCTGCACACTGCACCATGAACACCCTACACGCTGCACCATGAACACCCTACACACTGCACCATGAACACCCTACACACTGCACCATGAACACCCTACACACTGCACCATGAACACCCTACACGCTGCACCATGAACACCCCACACGCTGCACCATGAACACCCTACACGCTGCACCATGAACACCCTACATGCTGCACCATGAACACCCTACACGCTGCACCTTGAACACCCTTCACGCTGCACCATGAACACCCTACACGCTGCACCATGAACACCCTACACGCTGCACCATGAACACCCTACACGCTGCACCTTGAACACCCTTCACGCTGCACCATGAACACCCTACACGCTGCACCATGAACACCCTACACGCTGCACATTGAACACCCTTCACGCTGCACCATGAACACCCTACACGCTGCACCATGAACACCCTACACGCTGCACCATGAACACCCTACACGCTGCACCATGAACACCCTACACGCTGCACCATGAACACAACCACACACTGCACCATGAACACCCTACACGCTGTACCATGAACACCCTACACACTGCACCATGAACACCCTACACGCTGCAGCATGAATATCCTGCTTGCTGAGAATCCTGATACTCTGACTTCACGAACTCACAAGCCTCGGCCATAAACCCGTAGACATGGACTACGAACCCACAAACCTGACTTAACAACCCAACAAACCCGCACCACGAGACCACAAACGCAGGCTGGACCGCAGGTGACGCCGTGAATTATGTCGCCTCCTCGAGGCCCCACGGGAAGGGTGTATTTAACAACTGTTGCACGGCGATGATCCGCCAACCCTCGCGTTTGCTGCCTCGACGGGCTCTGGATCACAGCAGCCACATGCGGCGGTGGCGGCGGCGGTGATGGCGGTGGCGGTGGTGGCGGTGGTGGTGGCGGCGGCGGTGGCGGTGGTGGCGGTGGTGGCGGTGGCGGTGGTGGTGGCGGTGGTGGCGGTGGCGGCGGCGGTGGTGGCGGTGGTGGCGGTGGCGGCGTATCCACCGCGCGGCCGACCCGGCGATAAACGGCACAACGCCGGCCCGGTTTGTCCGCTAACCGTGTTTTTTTTGTTGTCAGGTCCATGCTTCCGGACGTGGTCGACGATTTCCGCCTGAAATACCCGGACATGAAGGGCATCGAGGCCATCTTCTACTCATTCTACGTCTTCTTCATTAAGTTCGCCTCCGGCGTATCGCTCGGGGTGTCCACGCTCAGCCTCGAGTGAGTTGCTCGCCCCCCCCCCCGCCCGCCGGCTAAAACGAGTACCGCTTTGTGTAATCGGGAAGGCGAGGTTGCGCAAGAGGTGGCGCTCGTGGGCAGGGGACGCTACTGCCAGCGCGGGCACGTGCCGAGATTGCCGATGCGGTACAAGGAAACGATTGCACGTTTCGCGTGACCGGGCAACTCTGAGGGCGCCGAATAGAGTTGCGGTTCACGGACGTAATCCAAAGGTAGCGGCTTGTGATGGAGGGGAGGAGGAGGTGGTGAGCTCACCGAGACGGGCGTAGCAGTGGAAGAGAAGACCAAAAGCCGGACGGTGGTGTGCCGGTGACTGGTCCCGTGTGGATGTTTCGGCTGCCTACACGAGCGAGGGTTTGCACGAAGGCAAATCTGGCGGCGGTGGCGATGCGAATTTTTGTGGTCCTTGGAAGGGCGTCGATTGTGTCGCGGGTGGAGGACGCGGAGCCGGTATTTATGATTCTTAGCAGACTTTGGAGATAATTGGTAGACACTGGAGTCTGTGCTCAGAACCCGGCAACCCCGGATTCAGTTAGCGGCCGGGGACGGAACCCAAGTGGCTGGGTTCTCAGCGCGGTGCGCGAGCTTGCTCGCGACGGTGCTAACCGCGGCGCCGTCCGTCCGCCCGTCCGTCCGCCCGCCGGCGCAGGTTCGCGGGCTACGTGACGAACGCGTGCGAGCAACCGCCTACCGTGTCGATGACGCTGAAGCTGCTCGTGGTGCCCATCCCCATCCTCCTCATCGTGCTCGGCCTCCTCATCTTCCGGACGTACCCCATCGACGAGGCGCGACGCAAGCGCACCAGCGAGGAGCTGTTGAAGCAGAGGTGGGCCCGAACCGTTGTTTGCGTCACCCTTTCGGCCGTCGGTCGGTCGGTCGGTCGTCGCCGCACGTCTCGCTCGCGTTTTGTCAACCCCCGATCTGCGTTCTCGCCGAACGAGCAAAGCCATGGTTGGTGATAACCACAATTACAGCAAAACCTTGGATTGCGAGTAACTTGGTCTGCGAGTGTTTTGCAAGACGAGCAAAATGTTTAATTAAATATTAATTTTATAAACGAGCGAGGGTCTTGCAATACGAGTAGTAGTACGTGTATACCCTTTGTATGCCGAGCGTCACGTGATCACAACTGATATACGAGTGCTTTGGATTACAAGCACGTTTCCGGAACGAATTATGCTCGCAATCCAAGGTGTTACTGTAATTGGGATTTCCTCGTTTAATCCAGGAGAAGTGGCGCTGAGTCGCCGGGACCCCTTTGTTTTCCAAGGGGTCCTGCCGCCGCTCGGCCACATTGGGTGTTCATTCCGGAGATGTGTCCAGCCAATTCATGATGACGAATTGTTGTTTATTATTATTATTATTGTACACGTGTGGAGTGGGGGGTGGGGGGTGGAAACCCGGAGAAAACTCGCGCGCAAGGGGGCAACGCTCTATCAACGTACAGTTGGAGACGGATGGCGATCAGTCCACTACTTCTCGTGGCGAGCCAGCCCCGGCCGGCTGCCTCTACAGCGCCCGATTAGAGGCTGCCCACTCGCAGCGGCGGAGCCACCGAGTAGTCCCCATCGGTTTCGTTGATGACGGAACCCGGGGAAGTGGGGGGGGGGGGGGGTGTTTGGTGAGAGTGCCCAGGCGGGTTCGCTCCGATTTCTCAGCGCATCGCCCTTCTGCTTTCCCGCCATTTTTTGTTTGTTGGATTTGTCGTTTCGTTCGCCCAGGCCGCTCGCACCGTTGGTTTAATTCGAGAGGCTATCCTTGGTCTCTCGCGTTTCTGTATTCGTTATGAGACGGCGGCGGTCACCGCATCGCGCCGCTTTCAGATGCTCTTCTGCGGCCGTCTGGAACGCTCTTCCTTCCGACATTAGGAAGCGCACTGGAGCTATGCACTTTTTAATCTATATTGGACATTCTTTTCTTTAGAAACTGATTTTTTGCGTGTTGATTTGTTGCCCTTCCACCGCGTCTGCAATTAGCGCGGCTGGCTGCGTTCGGTGCGAGAGAAGTTCGACACAGATACGAAACGACACCTGGAGGTTGGGCGTCCGCGTTCGTTGCTGGCGGCTTCGCGGAGCTGACCCGAGCTCTCGACGTCTCTGCTTTATTTTTCAGAGCGGAGAAGGCGCCGCTCGAGCTGACCGAGGAGAGACAGAGCAACGTCTGAAGACGGTGACTGCGAGCGTTCCTGGCGATGGCCGGAGGCGCCAACCTCCGTCCGTCGCCACCTCGCTCGCTCGCTCGCCCGCGTGGCGGCGGCGGCGGCGGCGGCGGCGGCGGCGTCGGCGAGAGGGGTGAGGAGCGATCCACGCCGAGGTGGGGTGGGGTGAGGGGTGGGGTGGGGGAGTTGGAGGGGTTGAGGCCCGGCCTCGCACCGAGCATAACGAAACAAAAAATCCACGTCAGAGGAAACAAAACAAAACTGTTCTACCGATGCGTTATTTGTCCCGACAAGCACCGAAGGGCTCGAGGTGGTTGGGGGGAGGGGGGGGGGCGGTACGAAGTTGGAAGAGTTGCGCTGTGGGGGAGTTCCCCCGAGCAACGATTGGAAGTGCCCGTCGAGGCCCTGCAGGATCCGCTGTGGCGCTGGTCTCACTCGCGCCCGCACGGCAAGCTGGGGAATCCGCGTCTCCTCTCGTTACAACGTTTTTGTTGTTATATATATATGTATGTATACGCATACGATGTTTTATTACGTTTTATTTTTCCCGTTTTTTTTCTCCTTCGCTTGCACTTTTTTTAAGTGTTTGAGAAAATGAGAAAAATGAGCATTCCCGCGGCTCCCCCACCCCCCGAATGGTTATTAGTGAGGTGTACGGTGTCTAAAGCACAACAACATCCACTTGAAAATATTTTCCCCCTGGAACAATTTTTGTTTGTCCGAACCCGCACACCGCCTCCAGCAGCGAGGAGGTTTAAAAAAGAAACAGCTCCTCCGTCGTGCTCCGTAAAGCTTACCAACAAAATACTGTACTCTCAGGAATGCCGGTGGGGGGGTGGGGGGGGGGGCCTTGGGGGGGCTGGGGGTGGGGGGGGGCCGGAAGGTGTTTCGGAAAAAAACGACAATATTTGCCTTTTCCAAGATTGTGACGTTTACTTCCCGCGTGGGCTATTGATGGTTTGCACTAACAGCGATGAGCGTCGTTAGCTATCGTGGGGGGCGGGGGGGGGGGAGGTTGGAGGGGGGGCGGGCGGTCATCTGCAGTATAAATGTCACGGTTCGTCCGAGAGGTATCACTCGACGCAACCGCATTATAGCGACGTCACCCGTGACCCATGAGGCCAACGGGGGGGTGGTGGTATCATCCTTCCACCCCCAGTGCGCAACGTGTACAAGAACACGGAACCTTTTTTTATGTTATTTAATTTTATTTGCTGATTGCGTCACCGTTCGAGAAGTTTAATTGCGATCGTCACTGAGACCCTAAATTATTTCCCATCGCCCCACACAGCGATTTGATGTATTGTCAGATTTCTGGGTTCGGGGGATTTTGATTTAAAGACATATCTATAGTTTTTTTTTTCTATCGCGGTGAAAGTAAGCGGCCACAGCAAGGGTCACGTGAAGCCATAAATGAACTTGATGGTGGAAAATAATACACACAGACACAGCGTGTTTGTGACCACAGTAAGGATCTTTACATTTTATAACAGCGCCTTTCACAGCGAAATTATCACGGCGCCGCGCGCAACAAAAGACGAACTGCACTCCCACGAATGAATAAATTCCACACGGAACGCAACGCAAGCCGATGATGACGATAACTACGCTCGCAAGTACGTATGCTGAAAAAAACAATAATGAACTACAATCTATAAATAAACAATGACAGTTGTGGTGAAATCGAAACGGACCGCAGGAAAATAGTCGCCAACAGCCGCCACCCGCCACGCTTACGGCTACAAAGGCGGGCGACTTTCGTGTCGGACGACCCTTTACAACCGGTTGCGAGCAGTCGCGCAACTTGGGGTCGCGTGCCACTGAAACCGCTTTTTGTGTTGGACGACTCTTTGCACACCGGTTGTGAGGAGTTGCGCAACTTGGGTAGCGTGCAACTGGAATCTCTCATGTCGGCGTTTCCGTAGCCGGTTTCTCGCAGGAGACGACCGACTCGACTTTGAAGCGTCGCTCGGCAGATTTGAAGCAACGCGCGCGCTCCGTTCACCGCGCGTCGCGATCCTGAACGCGCCGGTTATTTGTTATTTTTTCTTCTTCTTCTTGTTGTTGCACAACTGCTCGCACGGATGTGGACAAAGCAGCCGCTCGACGATGATTAGGTTGGCGCCTCTAAGCTTGCACGTTCGTTTGTTTGTAGTCAAACGTGCATCAATATAAATGCCGGCAATGAGCTTACAAATCACGGCAGAGAGACTCGCCGATTCGCCCGTTTCCGCGAGTTCCTCTCTCGTCGTGGTGCGATAACCGTAATTTATTTACGTCCGTTTTAGAGTGTTCATGTTCACATGAAATTAATTTGAAGCGCACCTGGCCATAGGGAATAATTACAGCTTAGCGTCCCCCTCCCCGTGCTGTCGGCACGTTCCACACGGGAGCAGAAGCCCCGACTTGTCTCGAAGACGCGGAGAGAGAGAGAGAGAGGTTCCCCAAGGGCGTTGGCAATGCCGGTCGGAAATAATCGGCGGAACTCTCGCATCGCAGGGTCGTGAGAGAGGGGCGGGTTGCGGTGGTTTGGCGCGGCCGTTAGCCGGCAGTGGATTGACCACGGCTGAGGACGACGAGGATTTAACAATCGTGAGAGGCAACACGAGACTCTGCCCGAAAGAGCGTCGGGGGAGCGGCGTCAACCTCTGTCTCGGCGATCCTGAGCCACTTGTCGGAAGTCATGGGAGATGGGAATGGGATCGTTCCGTCTGTGTGGTGGGGCTTTTTGTTGTTGTGTTGCTTGCTTGCATGTGGGACAAATCTGCAGTTCCCGGAGAATCCCAACCGTGAGCTCATTGAGGGGGGGGGGGATAATGACGGCCACAATGATACGGCGGTGAGCAGACCCATTTGGTGTGGGTGCTGCCATCTCCTGGCCGCCTGCGAGACCCCTTTGGGCAGTGTGCGCGATCCTCTCGCCGGGCTTCCAGAAGCGAAATTGCCAACTCGTTTTGCTTCGCGTTTATTTCACGACCGAGTGCCTCTGCTCGCATGGTCAATATTTCTTCTGACTTGAACTTACAGCCGTGGTAATTATTTGTTTTGTTGTTTTAGGGGTGATAGGGTGGCTCCAGATGAGTGCTGATCCCCGCCGCAACAACTCGATGCGAGTGCCTCTAACCGAACCGACGAGCAGAAACGGAGTCGCCTGCGGTTTTAGAGCAGCTCCATCGGGGAGCCGTGGTACCGGGATGTCATCTCCGTCGCCCGGTGTGCAGGAGGTCGTCGGTTCGATCTCGACCCTGACGCCTGCTGTTGTATATTTGGAGTTTGCACGTTCTTCCCGTAGTCACGTGGATTTTTCTCCAGGTCCTCCGGTTTATTCCCCTCCACATTTAAAATCGACGTCACGCGTTCAGAGTATTTGGCCGCTGCTATGAATTTCCACACGATGGGCCACTTCGTTTGGCTTATCATTTGCAATAGCCAGGTCGCTTTCGAAAAACAGCTACAGTGCTCAGTGGGGTCTTACCTGCTAAGGTGAACATTGTTGAGACAAACGATGGAGCAAATAATGCTGCCAAAGTAACCAATCGGCACGCGGTCCGTGGCCTCTACTAATTTACCTGTAAGTTTTAAGTGAATAACTAACGGGGCCCTGACGTCAATACTGCAAGGGCACGCGTATTGTTTTGATCGCGTTCCGCTTCCTATTTGAGCGAGCGTTTTTTTTTATTTTAAAACCGACGCTGCTACTGCTGCTATTCTCTTTAGTTTCCTTGCGAATGCTTCGAGACGGTGTCCGTTTCTCGTATGTACGTACGCGAGTACATACTCCGTGAGTGCGTCTGTGAGGACAGACTCTGTTTGAATTGTGTTTACATAGCACCAACTTGGCCTTGCGGTTAACATCTGAGCCCTTTGCGTGTTAATGTTTTTTTTTTATCCGATGATTACGGGAGGCGTGGCACTTGGCCATTACGATGCTTTATCCAGCGTCGCCGTTGTTGGTAACGTTAGCACCAAGGACATCGCGAGGGAGGGAGGGCGGGCGGGCGGGCGGGCAAAGCTTTCAACGCGCCACCCATGCTCGCATTTGCAGTCCACTTGTACACAGTCCGCAAACGAGATTTCGCGCCTCCGATCAGCATGTACGGCGCGAACGTGGTTCAACATGCGTACTCGTACACGGATGGCTAATGCTATGTTTGGGCTAACGACACTAATGCTGGGGGAGGGCGGGGGGGGGGTTTGAAGCTTAGACCGATCGATGAATAAAACGCCGCTCTGATGTCACAATCGCCAGTTTGTGACGACGTCACATGGCGTGCTGGGGTCAGAGTTCGCGGAGCGCGCATGGTTTTTAATTTTTTGAGGTGGGTGGGGGGAGGAGAGCGGTCTCCGAGTGCGCCGACTCTCCATGCCGTCGCGTGTAGACCGCCCAGAAGTATTCGTCCGCCCTGGTTGTAAAACTCGTGCCGAGTTGGGAGCTCCCTGAGAAACCGTGGTGGTTTGTTCGACCGCAGCGCCGCGTACGGCGCTGACGACCGCGGCACGGCGGTGGCGGCGGCACGGATCGTCGCGCACGGAACGGCAGCGAGGGCTCCGGGATGGTACTCGTACGCTTACGAATCTACAAAAGCTAGATCATGATCGATGTTCTTTTTTTTTTTGCACCCGTGACGACCGTGGTACACGTGCCTAACATTTTACTGTCGGTGCTCGTCTTTGGAGTGGGGGCTTCACCCAGCAGTGGATAGAGCACCCATGGCAGCTGTAGGGGAGTCCACGAAAACAAAGGAAAACAAACCTAATTATCCACGGGGGTTACCCGCGATGCTCTACTTCGCGGACGAGAGAGACAATTAAAATAGGCGGGCACCCCCACGGGGATAACTGGAATCTGTGATTCCCATCTTCCCCCCGCAACACCACGTGGCCGCGGATAAGTAGGCGTCATCACGCAGTGCGATCTCCGGCATGGTCCGCGTCGATGAGTTGGTACGGCGGTGTACATTCTTGCGTCCATCCCGAGCGCATTTCTGGGGGGGGTGGGGGGGTCGGTTAGATGTTCGTTATTGTTGAGCGCTTTAAACGGGCGGCCCTTGAGGAATGGCCGTACGGGGCCTCAGGAATGCCATCGCTGCGAAATGGGCATACCTCTTCTGACTTCCCGAGAGAAAGAAAAACAAAACGACAAAAAAACACTGCCTTTCACAAAACGAATATCTGTCCAGGTGAAGTATTGCGACAACGTATTTACGGTACTTGGGAATACTTGTCAAGTTAAGGGTACCCGGATGCGTTGATTGGTAGATAAGAAAAAAGTTCTTACGTTCGCAGTGAATGCCAGCGGTGATAATTAAATGTTTATTTGCCACTGCCCAACAACAGCAGCACGCGTTCCATTCAGAATTTTTCATTCCCCCAAAGCCCGTCTACAGTATTAATGCTCAACAACACGAACACAAGCGATTGTATTGGCAGTGTCGTGCCAGCAAACAATCGAAAAGAAAAACCACTGAACACTTGAATTATAATTGTTGCCTTTACAGCACAGTTATTATATTTGTAAGATTTACATTTTGCTCAACGTAAAACAAAAAACCAGTGCCACAAAACCCATCAACCCGAGTTCGATTCCCGGCCACGGCTGGCATCAGTGGCCGAGTCGCTTCTGGACCACTGCTGGGACAGCTGTCCACCAATATGCCTCCTTGACCAGCGTGGTGAAGTATGGTCAAACACAACGCTGACCAGTGATAAGACACGGCGTGGTGGTGGTGGAGAAGGCTTCGTCCAGCGGTGGATTGACAAAG